TAATGTATACATTATTGTTTATTTTTGTATTATTATTTGTATTATTTTATTTAACTTTGTCTCCACACTGCTCAATGGTCATTTAGTCTGACTGATGCTCCCCCTATCGTCAATGTCCACCCCAATGGACATGTATTTATTCATCACTGCTACAGTTGTTATTATGTATATATTACTATTTCTAGTTTTCTTATTACCATTCTCATTGTTTTATTTCTCTTAGTCCTGCATGTTGGAGCTCGGAGCTCTGAATCCGAAGATCTAGGATTGTACCCAATCCCAATTTTAACTCAGTCTCTCTCTCTCTCTTTGGCTCTCTCGCCCCCTCTTTGGCTCTCTTTCCCCAACAACCCACACACACAGGCACACAATATAGTTTTTACATTAGTGTTGTAATGATTTACTTATTTGGTTACATACTGTATGTGTTAACTTCTTGTTACTTCTATTGTAAATTCTGTTGTTATTCATTTTTAATGTTACCAATTTGATTAAATGTATTTTATGTACAAATATATTGTTTTTCTTACATTTAGATTTCAGGTAGAATTTCACTGTACATTTACAGCATTATCCTGGCACCAGAGTTGCCAGCTTGATACTGTAATTTTTCTTTACAGTACTATTTTCCTTACTGTTAAACATTACAGCATCCCTGTAAATGTACATCAATGATGCTGTAATATGTCTTTACAGTAAGGAAAATAGTACTGTAAAGCATATTACAGCATCTCTGTTGTAAATCAAAATTACTGTATTAAACTGGCCACTGTGGTGCCAGTTTAATGCTGTAAATTTACAGGGACAAGTTTTACAGTGTGCTTCTGCGATGATAATGGTTTCTGATTCGCATGTAAATCTATCAGCCCAACGGTACCCTGTTCAGGGTGTCAAAAGAAATGCCTTATCCTCCCAAGCCAACCCAAACATGCACAATCCATAAAATGTTCCAACAGCAAATTAAGGACATTAATCAGGACGAGAAGAGGACGAAGTGACAGACTAGGAGGCAGCACTTTAGGGGTTGTTGCAGTAAGGTCAAACCCAGTCAACAAAATGGTTCCTAGTTTATGGTACTGTTACTACTAAGAAGTGACAGGTGGGATGTTAATGGTGCGTGTTTGTATGTCTCCTGCATCCTTGATTGTTCACCTCTCGACCAAGCAGGTTTTTATTTTAAAGGGCGATTCCACACCAGAATGAGCGCAAAAATATTTTGTTTTGTTTTGGCAAGTCTCACATAGAAACTTAATTGGGAGGAAGGATGTTTGACATGGTTTTTACATTTGTATCACAAACCAGTTTTGAGAAAACCATGATGAAAGTGTCCAATTTAGGCCCTTTTTAAACCTATACATGTCTGCTGTAAGACCCTATGATCCGTGAACCGTACATGATACAGACAACATCTTGGTGTCATTATATTCCTAATAGTGTGCTCTCAAATGGAGTACGTCTAGATTCTGAAATGCAATTTTTCACATTCATTTATTCAACATTTAAACAATGAATATCTCAAAACGACCCTTTTTGATTTAGCTTATTTTGATATTTTTGGGGGGAACAATATACTCTTCAAACAGGTTAAATTTCCAGAGTTTTAATTATATGACCCATTTTATAAATAGAAATGGACATTATAGGTCATCAACCAATCACAGCCCTCTTTTTGGATTCCACATTCAGCAAATCACCAGCAGAGGGAGTTCCCTTTCAATCTATTTACCATTCACTGTGTTGGTGATGCTCATAACATGTATCATAACTTCTGAATTAGCAAAGAGTCCACTCTGGAAATGTGATGTACTTGTAGATTATATTGTTCCAAACAATATGTCTTCAAATGAACAAAATCTAAAAGGGTAGTTTTGAGATATTCATGTTTTTCTATGTTGAATAAATTAATGCGAAAATGTGTATTTCAGAATCTAGACATACTCCATATGTTAGAGCATACTATAATGACTATAATGACACCAACATGTTTTTTGTATCATAAACTAAAATGGCAAATTTCATCATGAATTTCTCAAAAATGGTTTGTGATACAAATATAAAAAGCATCCTTAAACATCCTATGTGAAAATTGCCTGTACAATCTGAGATACCAAAAATATTTTCCGCTCCCACTAGAGTGGAATCGCCCGAAAATATAATTTGCCTACAATGATTTACGAGGCTAAATAAAGGTTCAAATGAACAAACCATACTTGAACTTGGTGATGCCACTCATATATAATCTAGCTCATTCCATTTCTATTAATCTATGTTTTTAGGGTGAAGAGCCTCTTGTAGTTCAGAGTGTTTTGATTTAATCTGAGTGCTGTTGCTCTGGCTCATTTTAAAAGGTTCACCTCCACCACCTTATGAGACATTCATCAAATTACTTTATTTGGGCATCCTGGCAGATTTATTAAAGAAGTGCTGCCTGGTTTATGACATCCATTATCAAAGCTAATTCAATCTTGTTACTGCCGGAAACATCTAAAATCGTAACAGCTAACCTGCAGAAAATATGTTCACATCAACAGCTAGGATATTGAGACAGAAACGTACATTCTGAATGACATGATCTCAGGATCTCAGCTATTAACACAATGGATGTGCAGTAGTTGTAGTAGAATATTCAAGCGCATCTGTTTGTCATTACGACAACATAACATTCTGAATCAAAGCACAGCAGCTAATGGCTTATCACTGGAGTGTATGCTAAATTAAACATTACAGCATCAATAAATGTTGCATAGCATTAACCTGACAGTGCTTCATAAATCCTGAGTGGCGCAGCGGTCTTAGGCACTGCATCTCAGTGCTTGAGGCGTCCCTACAGACCCCCTGGTTCGATTCCAGGCTGTATCACAACCGGCCGTGATTGGGAGTCCCATAGGGCGGCGCACAATTGGTCCAGCGTCGTCCGGGTTTGGCCGGTGTAGGCCGTCATTGTAAATAAGAATTTGTTCTTAACTGACTTGCCTAGTTAAATAAAGGTAAAAATAAAAAAGTTGGAACTCCTTCAAGACTGTTGGTATGCATTCCAGGTGAAACTGGTTGAGAGAATGCCAAAAGTGTGCAAAGCTGTCATGAAGGCAAAGGGCTATTTGAAAAATCTGAAATATAAAATATATTTTGATTTGATTAACACTTTTTTGGTTACTACATGATTCCATGTCTGTTTTTTCATAGTTTTAACGTCTTCACTATTATTCTACAATGTACATTTTTTTTTTCAAATAAAGAAGAACCCTTGAATGAGTAGGTCTGTCCAAACTTTTGACTGGTACTGTACGTACGTACGCACACACACACACACACACACAGAGACACATTATTTGATAATACACACTAAGAAAAGAGGGTTCCTCAAGGGTTATTTGGTAAGGGTGATGGTTCTATGTGGAACCATAATAACTGAAAGAACCCTTTGAGCCCTTCAATATTTCTTTGCAGTTCAGAAAAGGGTTATTTGTAGTTTTAATTAAAATAGCAGGTCATTAGAATATTTTGGGGCGTGGTTTGCTCACAGCTCTTTCTGGGCAACCGTGAGTGAGAGTGTCATTACAGTTGATCTAATCTGTTGTGCGTTATGCTATTACTTAATATATATTAGGCTAGTGGCAAATCCTCAAAAAAAGGCTTTAGTTCTTTAGATACCCCTACCTAAAGTATAAGTAAGCACATCCATGTTCTTCCAACAGTATCTCTACGGTCTCCCATATATGAAATGGATGGTTGTATAAAAATATTTTACTGCAAAAAGTGGTTACATTGATAAATAGTGACACATCCCCTTAACTCAAACAGTGCAGAATAATGTATGGCTTGAGGGGGGGCTGGGCCACATAAGCTCATGTAACCAAATATTGCAAGCTCTGATATTGCTACAATTTCAAATACAAGTAGTCAATTGTCTGTCCTACATATACAAATAATCAGCATTAGGATATCTTAAAGCATTTAGGAAATATAGACCTGTAAACACACAGATACAATAGGCGGAAATATGAACTATTAATATTTATGATGAATATATACTTCACTTTTTGGTAGCTGTTCAGTAGACGACTTTCCAAATAAAATTTGCAAGCACTTTGCACACTGCACTTGCAGCAGATGGGTGCTCATGTCAGCCAATTTCAAGAACCAGCAATTACCAACGCATTTGCATTCATATTCCGAACACCCCTCCTTTCTCCTCTGTCCTTCCCCTCCTCTCAAACCATCTCCCTTACTGGGTGTTTTACATTTATCCCACTGGGGTTCTGACTTTGCAGGTGGTCAAGTGCTTATTGAGGATGTCGAGTGGATCCCAGAGTGAAAAATAAAACTCTCCTTCCGAAGGTTAAATGTCAAATGGAAATTCCCAAAATAGTTTTAATGTACTTCAGACATGAACCTGGAATGACACCATTTACATTATTAAACAGTTATGTTATTAGAGCTCTGCTCTGAATATGAGACGAGGTTTAATTCAAACAACCTGGCCCGCAGGATTCATACAGTAGTTGTATAATAAAGTAGCACACGTTTTAATGGAACTGTGAAAACAGACAAGGTGAGACTTACAGTTTTCAGAATAATACAGACTATGTGCGTCTGGCACTCCAAGAAAAGCTTAATTGAATCCGTCTCAAAGTGTTGGTGTTGCTACCATTGATGTCACCATGACATCACTTCAGTTCCAATCTGTTGATTTCTCCTACCCACAAAACATGTGACATCACTACGTCAATGCAATCTTTCAAACGCGAGAAAGCAATCACAGTAGCATGTAACCCAAACCCTTGCGGTTTGTTTGTGCATGGGAAAAGTATGAGAGGCTGGCCATAGTAAAAAAGGATGGAAGAATCATTCATTGTCTTGAATTCTGCTGTTCATTGTTTAGTACACATACCTACTTTTTTGAAAGTATACTTTATAGGCTTCTGTTCATCATTGTAACTGTTTAGGTAATTTACTGCTGTAGTTTATGGGGCAGTCCTGAGACCTTTAACTACTCCACCATGATGGATCCAGGTTCAGATCACAATGGCGAGGCTCACCTGAAATGTAAGCTAACCTTTATATAGCTGCACGTAAAACATTGATAAGTACGTTTATTTCATAATAACAACCTTGATGTACTATAATGTCCAATTCCTTGTCACATTCCATTGATGGAGTTGTCTGTTGACTACCATAAAGGGCAAGATGAAGAAAGAAAATATTTATCCTGATGACAAAAATTTATTGTTTTGTTGGCTTGCTGAGAGATAATGTTTTTTAAAAGTGAGACCAGCTAGTCCAAGGTGGCATTTTCCACTTTTTTTCACTGTCCATATAAATTAAGTTGTCATTGGAGACACATCAAGGAAAATATAAAGAGAGGAACTGCCTCTCCTGGTGACAGGAGATGCTGTCACGATCGTTGAGAGACGGGTCAGACCAAGGTGCAGCATGAAAAACATACATATTTATTCAACTCAATAAACATAACAAAACAAGAAACAACGTAACGTGAAGTCCTCAGGCTATACACATACAAGCCTAGACACGGAACAAGATCCCACAACTACGGTAGGCAAACAGGCTACTTAAGTATGATCCCCAATCAGAGACAACGAGCGACAGCTGTCTCTGATTGGGAATCACACATGGCCAAACATAGAAATACAATACCTAGAACATAAACATAGAATTTCTAGCATAGATTCTCACGCCCTGACCAAACCAACTAAAGACAACCGGCCTCTCAAGGCCAGGGCGTGACAGTACCACCCCCCAAAGGTGCATACTCCGGCCGCACCAACCTGACTCATTAGGGGAGGGTCCGGGTGGGCATCCGGCTCCGGGCGTGACGACCTCTCCCTCTCTGCCTCCCCGTTGCACCCCTGGTCTGATCTGGATCTCGGCGCGATGCTTCCCCTCTCCTTCCTCCCACGATGCACCAAGCCCTGTCTGGACCCTGGTGTGGGAGACCCCGAACCTGGAGAGGGGCTGACGGCTGGGCCTGGATCGGCAATCCTCCCGCGATGCATCAAGCCCTGTCTGGACCCTGGTGTGGGAGGCCCCGACCCTGGAGAGGGGCTGACTTCTGGGTCTGGAGTGGCGCCGCTGACCGGAGTTGAACTGGACCCCGGAGGAGCGGACTGCTCTGGCTCCGGAGTGGATCCGCTGACCGGAGCTGGACTGGGCACCGGTGGAGCAGACTGCTCTGGCTCCGGAGTGGATCCGCTGACTGGAGCTGGACTGGGCACCGGTGGAGCGGACTGCTCTGACTCCGGAGTGGATCCGCTGACCGGAGCTGGACTGGGCACCGTTGGAGCGGACTGCTCTGACTCTGGAGTGGAGCAGCTGACCGGTGCTGGACCAGGCACCGGTGGAACAGGTTTATAGTATCACCCTTGCCTGTATGAAAGGATGTCAACTCCCTGGCCCCAACAGTATATCCATTCAATGCTCTCTCCTTCAAAACACAAATGACAAAAGTATTTTCTGAAATAGCACCCAGACGGTATTGATCTCTCGATATTTACCATGTCGTTTTGCACCTGTGGCATATACTCTCCGCTCCACGCCTGGTCCATGTATTGTGCTGTCACAGACTTCACTGACTCCTACCTGTAAAAGAAAAGCGATTACCTATTTTGACCTCGCTTTTCTTTCTCACTCCCGGGTAATATTTTCTCACACAATTTGTGTGTGTGTAGGGGGTTGTGTGTAGGGGGTTGTGGGGATGTGGGATTGATTTGGTGGTTGCATCTTAATAGTGAACAGTGGCTTCCTCTCCTCATCATTTGCGCTGCTGAGAAAGAACCAGAATACTGAAAGCTATTAGGCATCGACCATTCATGCATTCACCTGTTGTATGTTTTCAGGTTAGTACAGATGAAAATGAGGATATGAGGATATTTAACAGTATTGAGATGCACCCCATGGATACCCCCATGTAGAGCAAACAGCAAAGGCACCTGGGTGATTGGCACGGTTTCCATGGTTTCCAGGGGCTGGCTTTGATTAAGTACGCGGTGTGGCGCGCCTGCCAGCCGAGCTGCCCGACTGTGGCCTCGCTAAAATAAGCAATCAACAGCCATGGCTGTGGCTCCCCCAGAGCTTTCACTGTGTGTGTGTGTGTGTGTGTAGGGGGTTGTGGGGATGTGGGATTGATTTGGTGGTTGGCCTTATAATAAGGAACTAGTTGCACCTGACGTGTCCTTGCTTTTAACCTTTATGCAGAATAGATTATCTGCTGAGGTAAAGTAGAGGGCGCTGGACACACACTGAAACACACACAGACCTGAGTAGTGTCAAACGCCGGAGGGACTGAGTCCCGCTCGGACAGCAGGTACAGCAGGTGCTCACTGTAGCCTTCCATACACAGTCACCCTGACACCCCGTGAACCAAAAGAGACTTTCACAAATGGCAAGATAATGTTTGGGACTCATCAACTGCTACTCATTGCAGTCAGGCATACTGTTCAATAAGGGTACAGTGCCACCTATTGGTAATGCCCTGTAATAAAGGAGGGGAGGTACAGGCCAAATTACGTCCATCTCTGTTCTGTTTCTGTTACTGTTAGGCTACGGCCACACTCAGAAGACGCATGAACACGGAGGTAATTGAGTTTCATTCCAAAATGCTACTGTATATATCTGCCTCACTCTCAGATAAATAAGTAGGACTGCTAGATTTTACACAGTCAAATGTAAAAAATCATTGCATTTTAATAAAGAACTGTACGAATGATACATGTGACATCAATATTAAATTATGTATTTTCTGTATAACACTGACCCTACGCACACTCACTAGACTATATATACACACCATATACACACTCACTCACATACACACTACATTGACACTCCCACACAAACCCACATTCACACACACTACATACACACATACCGACACAACACAAACACACATATATACAAATCAGGGGAGGCTGCTGAGAGGAGGACGAATCATAATAATGGCTGGAACGGAATAAATGGAATGGGATAAAACACATGGAAACCATGTGGCCACCTATTGAGTTGGATCATGAGTTCTGAGTATTACAAATGGACCAGACAATACTTAATTGAAAATATACAATTCTATAACTATATAGTTTCTATTTAAGTTACAAGATTAAAACCACTGGTTTGTTAGCTATGTACCATCAGTAATCAATCAATAATTAATACCCGAATGGAAGTCTCTCTAGACCCCTCAAACTCAACTCTGGACCTCGAAGCCAGTGCCACTGCTTTTTTAAATTGTCCCCCTCTAATCAGGGACTGATTTTAGACCTGGGACACCAGGTGCGTGCAATTAATTATCAGGTAGAACAGAAAACCAGCAGGCTCCGGACCTCGTACGGTAAGAGTTGAATACCTCTGCTATAGACAGACAGGTTGCCTCCCACAATGTACCGGCATACACGTTGTAATGGAAATGACCATCAAGGACTTATCAAGTCAATTAGTAAATGAACTATTAAGATTCACGCCAGCGGAGCGGTTACAACAAACTCTGCACACTCAGTACAGGTCGGTAAGAAGCTCTACCAGGTGGCTGTCCCCGAGCACCTTTTGTACTAGGATACACACAACTCACATAAACACGATTCATCCTCAGCACAAGGGAGGAGGTTTGGGTGCGAAAGAGAATGTGTAGCAAGACACCTGCTCCTGATAAAGTTCTCAGAGGCTATTTCTGGGCGTTCACCCAAGAAGCTCAAGGTTCTCTCTTGGGTATTGTTTGCTAACACACACTGAAACTTCCTCCTCTTGTGAGCACAAAGGGAGGAAGTTATAAAACATGTAATGTATCAAATATGTATTGCATTATAGCAACCAATACACACAATCATATAGCCAGGGTTAAACAATTAATAAACTTATGTCATAATTTTTCCACCACAACATCTGTACCAGTGGAGGCTGCTGAGGGGAGGATGGCTCATAAATGGCTGGAACAGAGTTACTGGAATGGCATCAAACGTATGGAAACCATGTGTATGACGTATTTGATACCATTCCACTGATCCCGCTCCAGCCATTACCACGAGCCGTCCTCCCCAATTAAGGTGCCACCAACCTGCTGTGATCTGTACCTAAAGAAAGTCAGTATGGCATAGAGCAGGGGTGACAAACTCATTCCATGGAGGGCCTTGTATCTGCAGGTTTTGGGTTTTTCCTTTCAATTAAGCCCTAGACAACCAGGTGTGAGGAGTTCCTTACTAATTAGTGACCTCAATCAAGTAAAAGGGAGGAGTGAAAACCCACAGACACTTGGCCCACCGTAGAATGAGTTTGACACGTGGCATAGAGGAAAGGGCGGAGTTGGGACATCCGGTGTTCCTACGTCACTGCCTTATCCGCTTATTGCCGTAGCACAGTGTTTCCCGATTCCAGTCCTTGAGTACCCCAACAGTAAAAACATTTATTGTAGCCCCAGACAAGCATACCTGATTCAAATTGTCAACTAATCATCAAGCCCCTTGAAAATAAAAAAATTATGTACTCACTAACTGTAAGTCGCTCTGGATAAGAGCGTCTGCTAAATGACTAAAATGTAAAATGTAATGAGTTGAATGAGGTGTGTTTGTCCGGGTCTACAACGAAAATGTGTACGGTTGGCGGTACTTGAGGACCGGAGTTGGGAAACACTGCCCTAGCACAATGAGGGAGTTGCCTGTCACGTAAACGGGCAAAAGCAGTGAGGGATGAGCGTCCTTCTCAAATCGAACAGTAATCTGCGCTTCTTGGTCATGTTGTCAACAAGGCATCATGGTGCATCGTCCAGAAACATACAAAATCTATTTTCCATAAATATGTTTGAATTTTCAAAGTAGTTTTCATTGGGAAGGCAGATAGTGTTTTTATCAAAAGCAATCACTTTTGCATGTGAAAACACTGAATCCTACTCATTATTCCACATGCTTAATCTAGCCTAGGCAACTACACTTTTGTTTTGAGCTGACTTTGCCCTGGCTCACGCCAAGAGGCGGTTCCAAAACTAATGCAATCCCTTTTCACCCGGTGCAAACCACTCCCACCGGGACAACCCGGGCCAGATAATTTAATCCCCTAAATTCTTTCCCGCATTTTAAGCCCCACCCACCCACAATTGTGAGTTGTTGGGAGAGTTGTCTGTCTGAGGAGGACCCTCCCAGAACAATGTATTTTTCCCTTTTTGAAGTTACCAATACAGTCCGTCATTAATCCCAGACCTAGTCACTGCTGTTGCCTAGGTCTGGGTTTCCGAGACTACCAGGAAGGTGACTTCCGCTCTACTCAATCAATACTTTAAATACCTTGGACTACAAACCAATAAGTTTACTTTACATCTCATAATCATAACAAATACCTTAGCGAAGCCACCATCACACCAAGCATGGGGGAGAACGTGGAGTGGCGCTTGGGGCAAGAACTACAAAAACAACGATAACTGAATGAGCTGAATGCAAGGCAAAATATGCTAGGACAGACGCAAAACTATGAGCCAGCTCCAACCAGAGCTCCGCAGCTCAGACATTTGCAGTTTGGACCGACAGCTTGTTTCTTGAACCAAAGCACCACGGACACACTCCTGCTCCCCATGCTGTCCTAACAGAGGTGCTCGACGCCAAACACAGGTGGACTACAAGTTATAAAGAGGCAGATGGCGTGAACTGCAAGGAGAGAGAGACAGTAGTTATGTAGGATGCTCCAATCACAGGAGGAGGGTGGTTAAAATGTTCACACAATTAAACACAGTTGGTTGGAGTGGAGGCTCAGTAGCTGGAGTTTCGAGTCCTGTAGGATGGTTGTGGTAGGAAGGAAGGTTTCTGGTTTCTAGAAGGGAGATACAAGCACATAAATTAGGATACACATAATATAAAAAGGACATGCATGATAACCTCTACGGGATCGGTGTCCCGTATACGGGACAGTTGAGCTAATGTGATTAGCATGACTGCTGTAAGTAACAGCACACTTTCCAGGACATAGACATGTCATATATGGGCAGAAAGCTTAAATTATTGTGAATCTCAGTGCACTGTCCAATTTAGAGTAGCTATTACAGTGAAGAAATACCATGCTATTGTTTGAGGAAAGTGCACAACAACAAAAAACGTATCACGGCAACTGGTTTGATACACTCACCATTGAAGATAAATAATGTACTTTCATTCAGTCATCTTGCTCTGATTTGTCATTCTAAGGGTCCCAGAGATAAAATGTAGCATAGTTTTGTTTGATAAAATCCATTTTTATATTCAAATGTAGGAACTGGGTTTTACAGTTTGAACCCTTGCTGTCTCTGGCTCCACACCCACCCCACCCGGCCATCTAGATGTGTGAACATTAATGTATGAGCTAATGATCCATCATGTATGACATTCCTGGGAGTGTGTAAACTTACATTTTGTATTACCATATAATTTTTGTATGTTCTCTATAGTTATGTACTTGAAAATGTATTAATTGACCAATTCGCCACATTTTGGCAGACTTGATACAAAATAGTCCAGTATTGCAATGCTTCACTGGATCAATCTGAAAATTTGTACACACACTGCTGCCATCTAGTGGTCAAAATCTAAATTGTGCTTAAACTGTAATATTATAATGTGGCTTTTCTCTTGCATTTCAAATATGTAAATAAATAGAAAATGTATGTTTTTTTGTTTGTATTATCTTTTACCAAATCTAATGTGTTATATTCTCCTACATTAATTTCACATTTCCACAAACTTCAAAGTGTTTCCTTTCAAATGGTTTCAAGAATATGCATATCCTTACTTCAGGTCCTGAGCTCCAGGCAGTTAGATTTAAGGCAAAAATTGAAAAAAAGGGTCAGATCCTTAAGAGGATAAAGTAGTGGCAAATGACAAATATGGAAGGAGAGTGCCAGAACTGAGCAAAACTGTATAATAGTGTACCCAAAGTGTGGATGAGGAGGATCCTAACTTAGTACTTGAATATATTGCAGATTCTGAATGAAAGGGAAAACATGTCTTGCCTTAAACAGTCTTGGTCATAGTTGTCAGTTTAATGCACTAAGATTTTCATGGGTAAATTACACTTTTCAGAGAAAGGAGGTGCTAACCCAGCAACTTTTAGCCATGTTGGTGCCACAAAAGCCCTTCCTTTCCATAGGAGAGCATCCTCACCTGGCTGATAGTTTCAGCAGGATCTAAAAGACAGGTCTGCTGGCGCACCTAGAGGAGCTGCTGGCGTTGGTCAGGTGGCCCACTCCCTTTTCATAGTCTCCTGAGGGTTGGAGAACAAAAGGCACACTATCAGGTTGGATTAGATGAGCCCAAAACGAATATAGAAAATAATGTTTTCCAAAAAATTATTTCTGTAAACTTCAATCAGGCAACAGCCCCCTTACAGTCTCTGGTATTGTCCCCTGAGGGAATCTAATTATTCACTATTGTAAATCATCTGACCATGATAACATTTAATTTTGAAAGTAATATGAGCGCCTCAAGAAGAATGTGAAGCCCCTAGTAGATCATTTAGGTGGGTGGAAGCAAAGGGGATTGTAACTGTGACCCACCTGCAAGCCAAAGCCAGGCCGGGCCGGGGTGAAGCTCTTGATTCACCTGGCTAGACCAAGAGGTTATGTGGTGGGATCCAGCTGGGGCCACTATGAAGGAGATGGGAGACCACATGGCACCTAGGGTGGAGGCAGGGAGAGATGAATGGGAGGGAAAGGGAGAGTGGGGTATCTGTGTGTAGAGTGCTGTCAATATAAGGTCAATTCAAATGTGAGTGTGTGTGTCTCTGCCTGCCTGACAGCCTGTCAATCAGTTGCTACTCAAAGCATAGTCTACCTCAGTCAGTAGACCATTGCATGGGGATGAACTTGGCTCTTACTTTGGCTGGCAGTCTTCTTCCTGGCCTCAGTGATCAGTATGTCCACTAACCCACATCTACTAATCATAGACCAGGAGTAGGGCTGTGGCAGTCATAACATTTTGTCAGCATTGTCATGCAAAAGCCTGCTGGTCTCACGGTAATTGACTGTTAGTTGACATGAACACGTTTAGCATCTCCAGGCCTCCATGCATACAAGCCGCTGATGCGCACCTTTGGAACAGCTACATAAAAAAAGTATAATAAGTCAATTTAATATACACCATCACAATAAATCCATTATTTATTTTAGTCAGGTCAAAAAAAAAGCAATATGAAATGAAGAAAATGTATTTCTGTTACATCTCCCCTCTGGCTCTCTGATTCGCCGGTCTACTGAGCCACCGGTCTGAGCGCACCACCTCGGCAACACCGATGGAATGGTAACCCAACGCACCCTAATCACCTCCAGCGCACCTGCACCTCATCATCTCATCACCACCCCTATATAGCCCTGGACTGTTCAGTTTTGTGTTGTGTGTGATTGTTAGTGTCTTGTAGTGTACTAGCTCTTTGTTGTTCTCTTGCTCAGTGTTTAGTAAACCTTTACATTGTTGATTCCTGCGTCTGCATCCTGCCTCTTCGTATCCTCAGTACTCGTCACAATTTCAGATGAACAGAATATGAGTTGGCCATTATTTTATATGATTTTATAGTAAGAAGAATAACTGAACTTAGCCACAAAATATCCTTTCTATTTTATTCTGCTATGTTGAGCGTTAAAGCGATAATTTGAAACAGGACATGTATGTTAAATTTAGAGTTATTTGGCAACTTTACATACAAAGCTTAGAATGTCTTAGAAATCAAAACATATACAGTGCATTTGGAAAGTATTCAGACCCCTTCCATTTTCCACATTTTGTCACGTTACAGCTTTATTCTAAAATGGATAAAATAAAATCCTCATCAATCTATACACAATACCAAATAAAAATCCAGAAAATCACATTGTAGGATTTTTAATGAATTTATTTGCAAATTATGGTGGAAAATAAGTATTTGGTCAATAACAAAAGTTTCTCAATACTTTGTTATATACCATTTGTTGGCAATGACACAGGTCAAACGTTTTCTGTAAGTCTTCACAAGGTTTTCACACGCTGTTATTTTGGCCTATTCCCCCATGCAGATCTCCTCTACAGCAGTGATGTTTTGGGGCTGTCGCTGGGCAACACGGACTTTCAACTCCCTCCAAAGATGTTCTATGGGGTTGAGATCTGGAGACTGGCTAGGCCACTCCAGGACCTTGAAATGCTTCTTACGAAGCCACTCCTTCGTTGCCCGGGCGGTGTGTTTGGGATCATTGTCATGCTGAAAGACCCAGCCACGTTTCATCTTCAATGCCCTTGCTGATGGAAGGAGGTTTTTACTCAAAATCTCACGATACATGGCCCCATTCATTCTTTCCTTTACACGGATCAGTCGTCCTGGTCCCTTTGCAGAAAAACAGCCCCAAAGCATGATGTTTCCACCCCCATGCTTCACAGTAGGTATGGTGTTCTTTGGATGCAACTCAGCATTCTTTGTCCTCCAAACACGACGAGTTGAGTTTTTACCAAAAAGTTATATGTTGGTTTCATCTGACCATATGGCATTCTCCCAATCCTCTTCTGGATCATCCAAATGCACTCTAGCAAACTTCAGACGGGCATGGACATGTACTGGCTTAAGCAGGGGGACATGTCTGCACTGCAGTATTTGAGTCCCTGGCGGCGTAGTGTGTTACTGATGGTAGGCTTTGTTACTTTGGTCCCAGCTCTCTGCAGGTCATTCACTAGGTCCCCCCGTGTGGTTCTGGGATTTTTGCTCACCATTCTTGTGATCATTTTGACCCCACGGGGTGAGATCTTGCATGGAGCCCCAGATCGAGGGAGATTATCAGTGGTCTTGTATGTCTTCCATTTCCTAATAATTGCTCCCACTGTTGATTTCTTCAAACCAAGCTGCTTACCTATTGCAGATTCAGTCTTCCCAGCCTGGTGCAGGTCTACAATTTTGTTTCTGGTGTCCTTTGACAGCTCTTTGGTCTTGGCCATAGTGGAGTTTGGAGTGTGACTGTTTGAGGTTGTGGACAGGTGTCTTTTATACTGATAACAAGTTCAAACAGGTGCCATTTATACAGGTAACGAGTGGAGGACAGAGGAGCCTGTTAAAGAAGAAGTTACAGGTCTGTGAGAGCCAGAAATCTTGCTTGTTTGTAGGTGACCAAATACTTATTTTCCACCATAATTTGCAAATAAATTCATAAAAAATCCTACAATGTGATTTTCTGGACGTTGACGTGTACCTATGATGAAAATGACAGGCCTCTCTCATCTTTTTAAGTGGGAGAACTTTCACAATTGGTGGCTGACTAAATACTTTTTTTCCCCACTGTATATCCTGTTTCCATTGATCATCCTTGAGATGATTATACAATTTGATTGGAATCCACCTGTGGTAAATTAAATTGATTGGACATGATTTGGAAAAGCACACACCTGTCTATATAAGGTCCCACAGTTGACAGTGCATGTCAGAGCAAAAACCAAGCTATGAGATCAAAGGAATTGTCCATAGAGCTCCGAGACAGGATTGTGTTGAGGCACCGATCTGGGGAAGGGTACAAAAAAATATCTGCAAGTTTGGAACCACCAATACTCTTCCTAGAGCTGGCCGCCCGGCCAAACTGAGCAATCGGGGGAGTAGGGCCTTGGTCAGGGAGGTGACCAAGAACCTGATGATCACTCTGACAGAGCTCCAGAGTTCGTCTGTGGAGTTGGGAGAACCTTCCAGAAGGACAACCGTCTCTGCGGCACTCCACCAATCAGGCCTTTATGGTAGAGTGGCCAGACGGAAGCCACTCCTCAGTAAAAGGCATATGCCAGCCTGCTTGGAGTTTGCCAAAAGGACACTATAGGACTCTTAGACCATGAGAAACAAGATTCTCCGGTCTGATGAAACCAAGATTGAACTCTTTGGCCTGAATACATTTACATTTACATTTTAGTCATTTAGCAGACGCTCTTATCCAGAGCGACTTACAGTTAGTGAATACATTATTTTTTTTTAATTTATTTTTTTATACTGGCCCCCCATGGGAATCGAACCCACAACCCTGGCGTTACAAACGCCATGCTCTATCAACTGAGCTACATCCCTGCCGGCCATTCCCTCCCCTACCCTGGACGACGCTGGGCCAATTGTGCGCCGCCCATGAGTCTCCCGGTCGCGGCCGGCTGCTACAGAGCCTGGATTCGAACCAGGATCTCTAGTGGCACAGTTAGCACTGCGATCAGTGCCTTAGACCACTGCGCCACTCAGGCCAAGCATCATGTCTGGAGGAAACCTTGCACCATCCCTACAGTGAAGCATGGTGGTGGCAACATCCATTTGAATCCATTTTAGAATAAGGCTGTAATGTAACAAAATGTGAAGAAAGTCAAGGTGTGTGAATACTTTCCATGGCATGGTTGGAGTATAGGCTATTGATGATTTGAGAAAATAGCAAAAAGAAAGCTTGCACTCTGTTCCTTGCCTCAGGCTGCACAGCTGTTCTCTCATCAAGTGATCATATTTTCACCCATCAGACTATTCTCAATTTAATCTCGTCTTTGCTAATATGTCAAATTAGTTTAGATTTAGATTGGTCCATTATCAAAACGTCATCTGTATGCACTCGAATAGCGAATGAAGGCTGCATGCTCTCCCACTGGTCGGTTTTGTAGGCTACTTCGGTTTTATAACGGAGCATGTGCTTAATCTCAGAAATAAATATATTTTTTTTAAAATCACTCCACGCATCAATCACTGTTTGGGGAGCATGCTCTCGCTGCCCCGACAGGGCTCTCCAATCTTTTTCCTGCAGCTACCCAGTGCTTAATTTGGGAACCAAGTGAAATCTGTTTTGGAACATCGATAGTAACATGTTTTTACAACGAAACATAGGCTACAGTATTTCACTAAACTGTTGACAGCCCGTCTGCGCACTCGAGAAAGGAATAAAGGAGAGAGGGGAGGAGATGGAAACGCATGGTGGTGAGATATTCTGTATAGCTAATGTGTCACCTAATTTATTATGAAAATACACTGCTCAAAAAAATAAAGGGAACACTTAAACAACACAATGTAACTCCAAGTCAATCACACGTCTGTGAAATCAAACTGTCCACTTAGGAAGCAACACTGATTGACAATACATTTCACATGCTGTTGTGCAAATGGAATAGACAACAGGTGGAAATTATAGGCAATTAGCAAGACACCCCCAATAAAGGACTGGTTTTGCAGGTGGTGACCACAGACCACTTCTCAGTTCCTATGCTTCCTGGCTGATGTTTTGGTCACTTTTGAATGCTGGCAGTGCTTTCACTCTAGTGGTAGCATGAGACGGAGTCTACAACCCACACAAGTGGCTCAGGTAGTGCAGCTCATCCAGGATGGCACATCAATGCGAGCTGTGGCAAGAAGGTTTGCTGTGTCTGTCAGCGTAGTGTCCAGAGCATGGAAGCGCTACCAGGAGACAGGCCAGTACATCAGGAGACGTGGAGGAGGCCGTAGGAGAGCAACAACCCAGCAGCAGGACCGCTACCTACGCCTTTGTGCAAGGAGGAGCAGGAGGACCACTGCCAGAGCCCTGCAAAATGACCTCCAGCAGGCCACAAATGTGCATGTCTGCTCAAACGGTCAGAAACAGACTCCATGAGGGTGATATGAGGGCCCGACGTCCACAGGTGGGTGTTGTGCTTACAGCCCAACACCGTGCAGGACGTTTGGCATTTGCCAGAGAACACCAAGATTGGCAAATTCGCCACTGGCGCCCTGTGCTCTTCACAGATGAAAGCAGGTTCACACTGAGCACATGTGACAGACGTGACAGAGTCTGGAGACGCCGTGGAGAACGTTCTGCTGCCTGCAACATCCTCCAGCATGACCGGTTTGGCGGTGGGTCAGTCATGGTGTGGGGTGGCATTTCTTTGGGGGGCCGCACAGCCCTCCATGTGCTCGCCAGAGGTAGCCTGACTGCCATTAGGTACCGAGATGAGATCCTCAGACCCCTTGTGAGACCATATGCTGGTGCGGTTGGCCCTGGGTTCCTCCTAATGCAAGACAATGCTAGACCTCACGTGGCTGGAGTGTGTCAGCAGTTCCTGTAAGAGGAAGGCATTGATGCTATGGACTGGCCCACCCGTTCCCCAGACCTGAATTCAATTGAGCACATCTGGGACATCATGTCTCGCTCCATCCACCAACGCCACGTTGCACCACAGACTGTCCAGGAGTTGGCAGATGCTTTACATTTTACATTTACATTTTAGTCATTTAGCAGACGCTCTTATCCAGAGCGACTTACAGTTAGTGAATACATCTTTTTTTTTTTTATACTGGCCCCCCGTGGGAATCGAACCCACAACCCTGGCGTTGCAAACGCCATGCTCTATCAACTGAGCTACATCCCTGCCGGCCATTCCCTCCCCTACCCTGGACGACGCTGGGCCAATTGTGCGCCGCCCATGAGTCTCCCGGTCGCGGCCGGCTGCGACAGAGCCTGGATTCAAACCAGGATCTCTGGTGGCACAGTTAGCACTGCGATGCAGTGCCTTAGACCACTGCGCCACTCAGGAGCAGCTTTAGTCCAGGTCTGGGAGGAGATCCCTCAGGAGACCATCCGCCACCTCATCAGGAGCATGCCCAGGCATTGTAGGGAGGTCATACAGGCACGTGGAGGCCACACACACTACTGAGCCTCATTTTGACTTGTTTTAAGGACATTACATCAAAGTTGGATCAGCCTGTAGTGTGGTTTTCCACTTTAATTTTGAGGGTGACTCCAAATCCAGACCTCCATGGGTTGATAAATTTGATTTCCATTGATCATTTTTGTGTGATTTTGTTGTCAGCACATTCAACTATGTAAAGAAAAAAGTATTTAATAAGATGATTTCATTCATTCAGATCTAGGATGTGTTATTTTAGTGTTCCCTTCATTTTTTTGAGCAGTGTATAAAAAATGCCCTATTACTAGGCTATACAAATTGACTAATTGTAGGCTAACAGTAAGCCGCCCTGCACAATCAATGAACCAACAGCATCGCCTAGGGCTATACGTTCTCTCCCAGACTCATGAATATATATTTTGTAGCGTATCATACATAAATAAGATAACCAGTCCATCCTGTATGCATAATAATACAGTCCACACTCAAAGGTAGTTACTCGAATTTCTTTAATTTTGGAGTATAAGCATATACCAATTTTGTACCAAAGACATCTTAAATCAGTTTTGTTTTATGTTTTTCTGCCATGCTTAATATGGGGTAGGCTATGTATTTTATAATGGCAGAATCAATCATTTTAAGTTGTAAAAAAAATCGGACTTGTGCTCATAAGCCTATGCATAAGCTCTAATATGGGTGTTTTGAACTAATAATCACCTTAGAAAGCGCTGTCCATTTCGTTGTGTTAGGCTTTGAAACAACATCCATGTTTTACACTGTTTCAACCTGCTGTAGAATTTCTTTCTTCAATTTGATCATCACAGTGAGGTGAGTTTAAAAGTATTATAGGCCTACTGTTTTGATGATATGTGTTTGATGTGATTTTCGATTGCATTTGCATTGATGTCAGAGTGGTTAGACGGACAATAGAGCCCTGAGTACCAGGTCATTAGGACCTGATGGTCGTTAGCAAGTTGGATACTACCAAAGCATGTCCAGAGTGCATAAAAGGAGATTACTGTGACTCAACGGGTCACCGCAACAGCCCTAACCAGGGAATCAATCAGAAGTTATAGAAAGGATGAGGGCGAGAGAGAATTCGCCAACAGAGGAGTGCTGATGTAGATTTGGGTCCACTCTGTCCATATAATAGTATTCATTATGATCTTACCTTTTGCTAATGCTTAGTCTGGATTTTTCTGTTGGGTCAAAGTGGATCCAGTACATTCATGAAATATGAATTAGTACTGTAAATCCAGACTAAAGCTAGCTAGCACTGTAGTATAACCTAATATGGGATACCTACTTGTACAGTGGGGCAAAAAAGTATTTAGTCAGCCACCAATTGTGCAAGTTCTCCCACTTAAAAAGATGAGAGAGGCCTGTAATTTTCATCATATGTACACGTCAACTATGACAGACAAAATGAGAAAAAAAAAATCAGAAAATCACATTGTAGGATTTTTTATGAATTTATTTGCAAATTATGGTGGAAAATAAGTATTTGGTCACCTACAAACAAGCAAGATTTCTGGCTCTCACAGACCTGTAACTTCTTCTTTAAGAGGCTCCTCTGTCCTCCACTCGTTACCTGTATTAATGGCACCTGTTTGAACTTGTTATCAGTATAAAATACACCTGTCCACATCCTCAAACAGTCACACTCCAAACTCCACTATGGCCAAGACCAAAGAGCTGTCAAAGGACACCAGAAACAAAATTGTAGACCTGCACCAGGCTGGGAAGACTGAATATGCAATAGGTAAGCAGCTTGGTTTGAAGAAATCAACAGTGGGAGCAATTATTAGGAAATGGAAGACATACAAGACCACTGATAATCTCCCTCGATCTGGGGCTCCATGCAAGATCTCACCCTGTGGGGTCAAAATGATCACAAGAACGGTGAGCAAAAATCCCAGAACCACACAGGGGGACCTAGTGAATGACCTGTTGAGAGCTGGGACCAAAGTAACAAAGCCTACCATCAGTAACACACTACGCCGCCAGGGACTCAAATCCTGCAGTGCCAGACGTGTCCCCCTGCTTAAGCCAGTACATGTCCATGCCCGTCTGAAGTTTGCTAGAGTGCATTTGGATGATCCAGAAGAGGATTGGGAGAATGTCATATGGTCAGATGAAACCAAAATATAACTTTTTGGTAAAAACTCAACTCGTCGTGTTTGGAGGACAAAGAATGCTGAGTTGCATCCAAAGAACACCATACCTACTGTGAAGCATGGGGGTGGAAACATCATGCTTTGGGGCTGTTTTTCTGCAAAGGGACCAGGACGACTGATCCGTGTAAAGGAAAGAATGAATGGGGCCATGTATCGTGAAATTTTGAGTGAAAACCTTCCATCAGCAAGGGCATTGAAGATGAAACGTGGCTGGGTCTTTCAGCATGACAATGATCCCAAACACACCGCCCGGGCAACGCAGGAGTGGCTTCGTAAGAAGCATTTCAAGGTCCTGGAGTGGCCTAGCCAGTCTCCAGATCTCAACCCCATAGAAAATCTTTGGAGGGAGTTGAAAGTCCGTGTTGCCCAGCGACAGCCCCAAAACATCACTGCTCTAGAGGAGATCTGCATGGAGGAATGGGCCAAAATACCAGCAACAGTGTGTGAAAACCTTGTGAAGACTTACAGAAAACGTTTGACCTGTGTCATTGCCAACAAAGGGTATATAACAAAGTATTGAGAAACTTTTGTTATTGACCAAATACTTATTTTCCACCATAATTTGCAAATAAATTCATAAAAAATCCTACAATGTGATTTTCTGGATTTTTTTTCTCATTTTGTCTGTCATAGTTGACGTGTACCTATGATATAAATTACAGGCCTCTCTCATCTTTTTAAGTGGGAGAACTTGCACAATTGGTGGCTGACTAAATACTTTTTTCCCCCACTGTATGTGCTTCAGTAAAGCTGCACTCCAGAGGCCTCCTCCAGCCACATCTGGAACTCCTAGACAGGCTGGCAGACAGGCAGGCAGGCAGACACACACAGTCACACACAGTTTGAGAGCTAAGCAAAATAGACAAACGCAAAACAAATGTTGCTATTCATATGTTGCACCTCCTTCACTGGGTCACTTTATGCCATTGTTATTAACGTTCTAAAGCTGCCCTCTGCTGGCGGCGTCATAGTGGTGCCCAAAAAGTCCTGATAGACAGACGATAATGACTGTTTAGTCTAAATTACACTGCAGTTGCATGGATATGATGGCATTGCTAAAGTAGGCAAATGTTCAGTAGGAAACAACTTTGATATCATTATCAAGTTGTCGCTAGCCATAGCTAGCTACCCTAGTGATCATATAGCTTGCTAGCTAGCTAGTTGTCTGTGCTAGAAATGATATAATCATGCTAGCTAATTGTATCAGTGCACCTTCCAAAATTTGAAATTACAGGACAAAAACGACACTTAGCTGAGGCTGTTCGTCTATGTCCTCTTAGTTGTGAATATAGCTAGCTAGCTAGCTAAAATAGTTCCCACAGACTTCTGCCCAAATGCGCTGTGCGCAATAGCCTGGGGATGAGGTTACTAGCTAGCTAACTTTTTGCGAGGGAACGCATAATATTTTGCGAGAGAATACGAAACATTTTGCGAGTGTCATGGTACTGATGTGGAGGTGAAGTCAGGCGCAGGACACAGCGGATAAGTCAAAACAACTTTACTGAAGTATTTGAACAATATACAAAAATAAATGGCCTCGAAACAACGGAGGCGAACTGATACGCGAAATGCGTAAAACATTCATAAAACAAAGTACCGAACCTCACAACAAAAGTGCTGTAGAGATGGTTGTCCTTCTGGAAGGTTCTCCCATCTCCCTAGAGGTACTCTGGAGCTCTGTCAGAGTGACCATCGGGTTCTTGGTCACCTCCCTGACCAAGGCCCTACTACCCCGATTGCTCAGTTTGGCCGGGCGGCCAGCTCTAGGAAGAGTCTTGGTGGTTCCAAACTTCTTCCATTTATGAATGATGGAGGCCAATGTGTTCTTGGGGACCTTCAATGTTGCAGAATTTCTTTGGTACCCTTCCCCAGATCTGTGCCTCAACAATCCTGTATCGGAGCTCTACGGACAATTCCTTCGACCTCATGGCTTGGTTTTTGCTCTGACATGCACTGTCAACTGAGGGATCTTATATAGACAGGCATGTGCCTTTCCAAATCATGTCCAATCAATTGAATTTACCACAGGTGGACTCCAATAAATTTGTAGAATCATCTCAAGGATGATCAATGGAAACAGGATGCACCTGAGCTTAATTTCGAGTCTCATAGAAAACGGTCTAAATACTTATGTAAATAAGGTATTTCTGTTTTTTTATTTTCAATACATTTGCTAACATTTCTAAAAACCTGTTTTTGCTTTGTCATTATGGGGTATTGTGTGTAAATTGATGACAATTTTTATTTATTTAATCAATTTTAGAATAAGGCTGTAACATAACAAAATGGGAAAAAATTCAAGGGGTCTGAATACTTGCACAGTAGGTTGTAATCTCAGCCAAATATTACATAATTATCCACTTTGAAATGACATGGTGTGTCCTGTGGGATGTATCCATGGCATTTAAGAATAAATAAGAGCGGATTGGAACTAGCTTTGTCAGACAGTGCACCATGGCCTATTGGAAATTGAAGTCAGTTCCTCAATTAGCTGCTGCGTTGGGAATCTGAATGGAAGATCCAGCTGTTGATTGAAACATGGGGAGGGGGTGTTTCTGTAAGCGTCATAATGGCAACAGAGTTCTGTTATTGAAATGAAAGAACATAGTTAGAGCCCTGGATGATGCAGCACAGGCAACGACACAGAACTGCACATGCACATGCACAAAGGCATGCAACGCACGCACACACATGCTCAGACATGCACACACATGCTCAGACATGCACACAAACACACAAATGTATACATCCACGGTGCCTCAGTCCCCTTTAGAAACAGTGAAGTGGAGCTGGATTTAACCTCTTAAAGCTATATCTGTATCCCCTCTATCCATTGCAAATCCTACCCTGTGACACAATCCCAGTCGACCTTACAGGCAAACTATCAGAGGCAGCAACAATGTCAGAGACCGAGACACATGAACAGCTCAGGTGGAGAGAAGGGGAGAGAGATAAGGGCGGCAGGTAGCTTAGTGGTTAAGAGTGTTGTGCCAGTAACTGAAAGGTCGCTGGTTCTAATCGCTGAGCCGACTAGGTGAAAAATCTGTCTGTGCCCTTGAGCAAGGCACTTAACCCTAATTGCTCATGTACGTAAATCGCTCTGGATAAGAGCGTCTACTAAATGAAAAAAAAAAGTATATATACATAATATGACATTGGTAATGTCTTTATTCTTTTGGAACTTCTGAGTGTAATGTTTACTGTTAATATTTATTGTTTATTTCACTTTTGTTTACTATCTACTTCACTTGCTTTGGCAATGTTAACATACGTTTCCCATGCCAATAAACCCTTACATTGAATTGAATTGATAAGGGAAGAAAACGAGAAGAAGGGAGACGGGTTTTGAGAGACCGGTGCTCCAGAGAACTGAGCCTGTGAAATGTTTTACGACGGTGGAGATGTTAAGATGTTAAATCATAGCCAGTTCTGCTGAGGGCCAGAATAATCATAAAACACATAAAACAGAGCCACCCTGGCCACAGCAGATTAGACGGACGTTAATAAAGTTAAGAATCGTCTTTCACTTACAGGGTTTATAATGCCACTTTCTGACCCAGAGCCAACCCATTCCTTTGATTAGAACTAAGAGGACTAATGATTTCAGAAACACCTGAGTTGACGTCAAAGCCTTATGTTGAGTTGTAATTCGTTTTCATCCAATTTAACATTGAGTTAATTTACAGTTATGGTGCCACAGTCGTTGGGGATAGTTCAGTGGCTGAAGGAACATAAACTTTGCTTGATTTAAAACCCAATACACAGGATTGAAGGCATAGGGCAGAGGGGGTGAAATGGGTTCAGCACTGAGCTATATACTGTAACATAATTCAAAAAGTACAAGGCATTACTCATATAGAACCTTTTATTTCAAAATGAAATATGTAAAGTGCATACAGTGCCTTCAGTGAGTATTCATACCCCTTTACTTATTCCACATTTTGTTGTGTACAGCCTGAATTCAAAATTGATGTTTTTTCTCACCTATCTACACACAATACCCCATAATGACAAAGTTAAAACCTGTTTTTAGATATTTTTGCATATGTATTGAAAATGAAATACATAAATATCTAATTTACATAAGTATTCACATAACTGAGTCAATACATGTTAGAATCAACTTTGGCAGTGATTACAGCTGTGAGTCTTACTGGGTAAGTCTCTAAGACCTTTGCACACCTGGATTGTAAAATATTTGCACATTATTCTTTAATAAATTCTTCAAGCTCTTTCAAGTTGGTTGTTGATCATTGCTAGATAGTCATTTTCAAGTCTTGCCAAAGATTTTGAAGCTGATTTAAGTCAAAACTGTAACTAGGCCACTCAGGAACATTCAATGTTGTCTTGGTAAGCAACTCCAGTGTATATTTGGCTTTGTGTTTTAGGTTATTGTCCTGCTGAAAGGTGACTTTGTCTCCCAGTGTCTGGTGGAAAGCAGACTGAACCAGGTTTCCTCTAGGATTTTGCCTGTGCTTAGCACTACTAGTTTTCTTGCTGATGACAAGCATACCCATATTTTGATGCAGCCACCACCATGCTTGAAACCATGAAGAGTGGTACTCAATGATGTGTTGTCTTGGATTTGCCCCAAACATAACGCCTCGTATTCAGGACATGAAGTTAATTTCTTTGCCACATTTTTTGCAGTTTAACTTTAGTGCCTTATTGCAAACAGCTTCCTTCTTTTCACTCTGTCATTTAGGTTAGTATTGTAGAGTAACTAGAATGTTGTTGATCCATCCTCAGTTTTCTCCAATCACAGCCATTATTAAACTCTATAACTGTTTTAATGTCATCATTGGCCTCATGGTGAAATCCCTGAGTGGTTTCCTTCCTCTCCGGCAACTGAGTTAGTGTGTCACGTTCGTTTAAGGACGGGTCAGACCAAGGCGCAGCGTGAAATACGTACATGTTTACTTAACCGATAAACACACGACAAAACAACAACCGAAACGTGAAGTCCTAAGGCTGACCACTAAACAAGCCTCAACACGGAACAAGTTCCCACAACTAACGAGTGCCAATAGGCTGCCTAAGTATGATCCCCAATCAGAGACAACGAGCGACAGCTGCCTCTGATTGGGAACCACACCGGCCAACATAGATCTACACATACTAGATCATACACAACATAGAATATTCACACCCTGACTCAACATGTCAGGGCGTGACATAGTGAGGGCGCCTGTATCTTTGTAGTGACTGGGTGTATTGATACAACATACAAAGTGTAATTAATAACTTCACCATGCTTAAAGGGATATTCAATGTCTGCTTTTCTATTTTTACCCACCTACCAATAGATGGGTGAGGCATTGAAAAACCTCCCTGGTCTTTATGGTTGAATCTGTTTGAAATTCACTGCTTGACTGAGGGACCTTACAGATAATTGTATGTGTGGGATACAGAGATAAGATCATGTTAAACACCATTATTGCACACAGAGTGAGTCCATGCAACTTATTATGTGACTTGTTAAGCAACTCTTTCCTCGTGAACTTATTTAGGCTTGCCACAACAAAGGGTTTAATACTTATTTCAGCTTTTCATTTTTAATTAATTTGTAAACATTCCACTTTGACATTATGGGGTATTGTGTGTAGGCCAGTGACACAAAATGTGAATTTAATCCATTTCTAATTCAGGCTTTAACACAACAACATTTGGAAAAAGTGTGAATACTTTCTGAAGGCATTGTATGTCAAGTGTCAAAGTGTGTGTTTGTGTGTGGTGTGGTGTGAATGTATGTCAAACTATCTTCCCTCCTTTACTTTCAGTTTGGTACTTCTTTGACAAATAAATAGTGCACATTTATGGAGGTGCATCCAATGGCGATTTTAGCATGTCAATATTGGTGGGGAAAACTCAACCAATTTCTTTTAATGCATGCCAACGATGCCACTAAACAATACATTAAATGCACTGTAACGGTGACAAACAGTGCCCACAAACTGTTAGGGCCTACATAAAGCTGTCCCGACAGCAGAGCTTTCCTTTCAGCATCATGCATGTAGTGAATCCTTACCACCGCTACACCTGGCTATCAGCAGACCCTCGTCTGGCAGCGAAACAGTTCAGCACTTTCGAAATGGACAGAGACAGAAATTCAGTTCAGATGAATTCAGCAAGATATTGAGGCCTTAACTTTACTCTTCTTTAAGTCAGAGAGAGAGAGAGAGAGAGAGAGAGAGAGAGAGAGAGAGAGAGAGAGAGAGAGAGAGAGAGAGAGAGAGAGAGAGAGAGAGAGAGAGGGGAACTTTTTGTTGAACAAAAATATTTGAAGGGGAAAATACTGTCACTGGCAAACATGGTTACAGACCAAACAACATTATATAGTATCCCCTCCTCGTGGAAAAAAGCACATGAGATAATTATAATACACAAAGTAACCAAAACAATTAAATGCATAATTTTATCTTTGCCTAAAATGATTAATGAGATAGGCCTAAATATAAGCAATATAACAATGGAGATTTACAAACTACGGCATAAGGGAGCGATAAGCAGATAAGAGGCAAGCCGTAATTTTAACATGAGCAAGCTGAGACGGATATAGCCTATATGCCTATTCGTTCATCACTTTTGAAATGGACAGCAACAGAACTCAGAACATGGGCCATTCTTCTCCCTGTACACCAAGTCAGAACCGTAGGATAAATAACGTGGCCATATAAGCAGACAATGAAAGCTCTTACAATATTCGATGATGACATTCCTCTAAAACAGGCTATGGCTACATGTGCACCACCAAGTCAGCACAGTAGGCTAAGTTCTGAGGGGGAAAGGGACCAAATTCTTAGGGTGAGACACATGGGATACTAACAGCTTACCTACTATACAACATACACTTACAGTAACTTTCTTAGCTACAGTATACATACTGTATCTCTCTGGCATCTTACATCACTTGTGCAGCAGCATACAATACATTTTGGACTCGGTGTTGTGCTCACTTGAACAGGAAGGTGGCGCGGCGGTCCTTCTTGTGGGCAAACTTCCCAATGACTTTGTCATCAAAGTCTTGCATTCAATGGAGGAACTTGACGTCATGCTGGATTGACAGCATGGCCAATGCATACCTTTTCTTCCCATGGTGTTGCGTGTAAAGGTTTTTATCTTTTTAAGGGTGTTCGTTTTGGATCATACTTGATGTAGGTTACCCTTGAAAAGGGGTTGGTCGTCATAATGCCTTTGTAGCCTGTCATCTCCTTCACGCATGGTCTCAAAAATACACCTGAAAATGCCTGGGCAGGAGTCGGCCGACTCGTCATGGCACCGCAGTGCTGTCTCACAATTGCCACACAATTTAATGCATACTATAATTATAGCAAGCACGTACCAATTCTTCTCCATTTGTTGGTTGTGAAGGTCATGGCTCGTCTATATGCGGTGTCTAGCTGAGCCACAATGTTTGATTTCACCAGTAATCCGAGATTAACAGCGTTGTCTATATGTGATGCACAATTCTCATGTTTTGAGACCCTTTCAGACAGATGTTTTGCATCCTTAAACCCAGACTTAGACCACACACCTCTCCACTGAATAGCAGGCAGGGGAAGCAAAATAGTGATTGCTTTGTGACTCTCGCAGTTAGCCACTGCTTCCTTCCAAAACGATCATTGTTGAATTTGCGATTTCCGACTTGTTGTGTAATGTTTATGTCCAATGGCCAATGAGCACCGAGACGTTTTATCTCTAATTTCTCTTCATATGACAAGGATTGAAAAGGGTTTGCCAGCAGATTGTCGACGTGTTTCATGATGATGACTGCTTATCTAGCTAGCTAGCTTTTGAAGGTATGATGAAAGTATGATGTTGACATGATCAGTCCAATCAAAACTACAAGAGATACACTGTAACGTGATTTGACAAGTTGTTACATTTCTCCAGGCCCATTCCTGAGTGGTTTACCAAACATTTTACATTTTTGTCATTTAGCAGACGCCCTTATCCAGGAGCAGATTTTTCACCTAGTCGGCTCGGGGATTCGAACCAGCGACCTTTCGATTACTGGCCCAATGCTCTTAACCGTTAGGCTACCTGCCACCCAACCCAAGTGGCGGTGTGTCCACATTGTTATTTTTGAACTGCAGATGGTCCCTTTAAGCACTTGTAAAGAGTTAGTGAAGTTATGTCTCCTCAGATCTATAAAAATGTATCTCATGACCAATTCAGGTTCCCTCTTAGAACATTTTGATTTTATTGCTGTGAGGGGGAAAGGTGAAGCGAGGCGATGTGTGGTGACACTTCAAAGGCCAGGGGCTGTAGTGGGGTATGGTTGCGGTGGGGTGAGGTTGCGTGAGGTAAGGGTGGAGGTTGGGGTGGGTTGGTAGGATACAGGATCATGTTTCTTTCAGGAAACAGACAGGGCATGAATATGGAGCAGGGGATGCTCGAGTGAGACCTTGTCTGATGCCAAGAGAAGGCTGGGTGAGGGTCAGGGAGAGTGGGGGGGAGCGAGAAAGAGAGAGACAGACATAGAGAGAGAGAGAGAGAGAGAGAGGGGGGGGGGGGAGAGGGGGGTAGAAAGGGGGAGAATAGAGAGAGACCGGTGATATTGGACAGACAGACAGGACAGGAGAGGTCCGAAAAAATGTATGCACTCACTACTGTAAGTCGCTCTGGAAAAGAGTGTCTGCTAAAATGGCAAAAAAAAAAAAAAAGAAGAGGATTCTGTGCCTACATGGTCTCCAGCTCATGCATTTATTGATGCATAATTACAATGATACCAGATGGGACACAGTGCAAATCAAAGAATGACTTATTTGCAGTCTTTTTATCAAGATTTGAATAAAAGTCTCCCTCTTGTCTGTCCATTGAGTAACATAGGCATCTTTAAATTATCTGAAACATCCACACATCTGAACTACTATGTATACTGAACAAAAATATAAACGCAAGATGTAAAGTATTGGTCCCATGTTTCATGAGCTGAAATAAAAGGTCCCAGAAATGTTCCATAAGCTTCTTTCTCAAAAATGTGTTTACATCCCTGTTAGTGAGCATTTCTCCTTTGCCAAGATAATCCATCCACCTGACAGATATGGCATATCAAGAAGCTGATTAAACAGCCTGATCATTACACAGGTGCATCTTGTGCTGGGGACAATAAAAGGCCACTCTAAAATGTGCAGTTTGTCACACAACACAATGTTACAGATGTCTCAAGTTTTGAGGGAGCGTGCAATTGGCATGCTGACTGCAGGAATGTCCATTAGAGCTGTTGTCAGATAATTGAACGTTAATTTCTCTACCGTAAGCCGCCTCGTTTTAGAGAATTTGGCAGTACGTCCAACCAGCCTCACAACCGCAGACCACGTGTAACCACGCCAGCCCAGGACCTCCTCATCCAACTTCTTCACCTGCGGGATCGTATGAGACCAGCCACCGAACAGCTGATGAAACTGAGCAGTATTTCTGTCTTTAATAAAGCCCTTTTGTGGGGAAAAACTGATCCCAGGCCCACCCATGGCTGCGCCCTGCCCAGTCATGTGAAATCCATAGATTAGTGCACATTTATTTATTTCAATTGACTGATTTCATTATATGAACTGTAACATTTCTGAAATTGTTGCATGTTGCATTTATATTTTTGTTCAGTATACATAATTTGTGAATTGCAAAACTTCGGTGACTTTTTCAGTGATTGTTATTTCGTTGATGCCACACGGTTCACTGATCAAACAATCACTCCTACTAGTTTCTGAACCGCCAAATCTTCTGCATCCATATTTTATGTAGAAGTTGACTATCCAGAGAATAATAATCCATCCAGAGAAGGCAGATACAGCCATATGCAAAAATATATGTTACCCCCTCCAGCCCAGACTGATAAAGACCCACAGAGGGCTGCACTTTCTGCTGCCTGTTATATTCAGGACGACAGGGCAGGCAGCACCGGTCCTGCTGCAGATACTGTCCTATCTCCAGCCCCATCTCCCTCTTGGTCACACTGTGCCAGACAGACCAGAACCTGCATTAAAAATAACCAGAATAGAATATCAATGGAGGTGAAACATGTCTGCAGGTGGATGCAGCCAGGGAAACATTGCATCATTTCAATACTTTTGGCCAGAGCCGTATACAAAGAAATAGGTAACAACCAGAAATATAACAACAAAACGTAACAACCAGAAATATAACAACAAAAGCTAAGACCAGCTTTGGGAGAATGGTACAGTGTGTGTGGGCATGCGTGAATGTGTGTCACCAGGCTCTTGTATGAACAGACCCCCTAGGGTTCTCTGCTCCTCTGCTAACGAGATGCTTGACTAACAAGCTGGAGTTTAACATAAGAGCATTGACATGTGAGGTCACACCTTGTCACAATTATGGACATGTGAAAAAGGACTCACATGCTTGAGAACGTACCATACAACATGCATCAAACACATGCTCCTGGCCTGGTCTCAATGGAGCCCACACAGGGTTGTCATTAAAAGTGAAGTTGTTAAATGTGGGAATATCATTAAAGTGATTGTATTTGCATTTCAAGTAGGCCCAACTTCCTGCCTTTATACTAACACAATTAACACAGTACAATGAATGGGCAAGAGGGGGGGCCAAAAACTGAGTTACACTAATAACAAATGAATATATCTCAAACCGGAAAATAAATCATAAAGGTACGTACCTAATATTTCATCATATACATTAATATTTAATATATTTACACAAATGTACATGGAGCTCAGTATGTTCAGTCTTTTATACAAAATATGCCCAAATCGGCTCTAACAGTGATAGTAAGTCAGCAGCTAAACGTAGTATTGTCTGGCTGGGTCAGCCATCAGGCCCGGTGCTCATATTAAAATGCACAGTGCATTAAATGATCAACATCAGTGGTGGAGTAGATCATGTGCTGAAGAGAATATTTGGTGCTTAGCAGCGATCAAAGAAGTGGACGCCAGCCAGGCAACTAATGCAGAACTGGAACCAGATACACTTTTTATCCTGTTGAAGTGGACAGATTTATAATTGCAGAGTGTAATGGACTTATGCTACTCAATAAAGTTCAGAGAGCATCCACTGCAGTGTGCAGTGTGTAGTGAATGAAAGCAGAGCAGAGCTACCCCCTCTTCTCTCCACCTTGGCCCCTCTGATCAGATCCAATATAAGTTTGCTAGGACCAGAGAGAAGCTAATTTAAGCTCCAGTCCATTCTAACTCTAATAAATGTTTACTTCTATGATAACCCTGCTCTCATCCCTGTTTCTCTCATTATGCTATCTTGAATAATTTTTCCTCAGCCTTGAGAGAGAGGTTGTCCAGGTCAGTATACCTCTACGACCGTTTTATGCCCACCTTCCATTACCAGTTACGGTGCCGGTGCTATAAACGTGCAGTGATATTCATCATTGTTATGATTGTGTGACAGGGTCGGCTCTCTCTGCCTGGGATGCAGGCTTGTAAAGAGCAGTCAGAGTGAACCGGACGTCTTTTATGAGTCTGTAATTGCCTAATTGGCAGGGGGGAGAAAGCAGTGCTGTCTAGTGAATGGATGGCCAATAAGGTGTGTGTGTGTGGGCAGTGAGTCTGTGTGTGTGTTCCCCAGGGTAAGGGCTGTTTTCTGCTCCACTCTCATTGTTACAGTACCAGGTCCTGTGTGATTCATTCACCCCACTGTCTCCTATCTCACAGCCCAGTAAACTATCAACCCAAATTGCCCACCGTTGTATGAAAATCAACTCCAAACAATAATTTGCCTGGGCATTGCTCGATGTTCACCTCCCCTTTTTCTGCATGCTCCTCTTCCCAGGAGCCCCTGTGTCTCCTTTGCTGCTTTCACAAGCACAATAATAATAGCTCAAAGACCATTAGACCTATACATAATTTCTCCACTGTCAATCAGCTCTTTTATATATTGCATTAGATTTTCCCAGTAGGGCTGTGCGGAAGGTAGACGGTAGAGAGGGCGAGCAGAGCTGTAAACAGCATGTCTTCCTGTCTAGATTATCTATGCTCCTTTTAGGCAGCACTCGAGGCTTGTTTTGTTTAATAGAAGGCAGATTAATGAATGAAGGAGAGAGATCCACTAATGGAGCAGCGATCAGGAGATTGATATCAGAAAGGTCCCCGTCCTCCTGTCTTCCCTCCATTCTTCTGAATGCTTTTCTTCCCTTCTTTCTTTTTTTTTTGTGTCTGTCAGTCTGGCAACAAGTAAACAAGAACATCATTCCACGACATGAAGCATCTCTAAAGAGCACAATGATCCTGTAGGTTTACTGTCCGAGACCTTTTTATCAGACAATGGATGACAGAACTATACAGAGTTCTGCTGCTTAGAGGTACATTATATCCACCTCGTTTTTGAACATTGCTATGGGCACAGCCAAACAACGGAAGTGATGGATTCGACTTCTGCTTGACATCCCTACTGCAGCGCTCCGTTGGCAAACTTGGAGTCAATTTATAGTTTCAAAGCCAAGTAAACAAGTGTACACGTGTAATTTATATTTATTTAATTCAAGTTCGCTAATGTTAGCTAGACCTAGTAGTTATGTTGTGATAATAACGTTAGTTGTGTTGTGTCAGAGTTAAGGGCCATCCACCAAGCTGATAACTATAAAGATAACTATAATGATAAAATATAGGCTACATACAGTGCATTCGGAAAGTATTCAGACCCCTTCACTTTTTCCACATTTTGTTACGTTACAGCCTTATTCTAAAATGGATTTTTTTTAAATAACATAAATCGACACACAATACCCCATAATGACAAAGCGAAAACAGGTTTTTAGACATTTTTGCAAATATATATATATAAAAAGAAAAAAAAAGAAAATACCTTACATAAGTATTCAGACCTTTGCTATGAGACTCGCCATTTAGATCAGGTGCATCCTGTTTCCATTGATCATCCTTGAGATGTTTCTACAACTTGATTGGAGTCCACCTGTTGTAAATTCAATTGATTGGACATGATTTGGAAAAGCACACACCTGTCTATATAAGGTTCCACAGTTGACAGTGCATGTCAGAACAAAAACCAAGCCATGAGGTCAAAGGAATTGTCCGTAGAGCTCCGAGACAGGATTGTGTCGAGGCACAGATCTGGGGAAGGGTACCAAAAAATGTCAGCAAGAACACAGTGGCCTCCATCAATCTTAAATCAAAGAAGTTTGGTACCACCAAGACTCTTCCTACCGGCCAAACTGAGCAATCGGGGGAGTAGGGCCTTGGTCATGGAGGTGACCAAGAACCCGATGGTCACTCTGACAGAGCTCCAGAGTTCCTCTGTGGAGATGGGAGAACCTTCCAGAAGGACAACCATCTCTGCACCACTCCACCAATCAGGCCTTTATGGTAGAGTGGCCAGACGGAAGCCACTCCTCAGTAAAAGGCACATGGAGTTTGCCAAAAGGACACTAAAGGACTCTCAGACCATGAGAAACAAGATTCACTGGTCTGATGAAACCAAGATTGAACTCTTTGGCCTGAATGCCAAGCGTCACGTCTGGAGGAAACCAGGCACCATTCATCACCTGGCCAATACCATCCCTACGGTGAAGCATGGTGGTGGCAGCATCATGCTGTGGGATTGTTATTCAGAGGCAGGGACTGGGAGACTAGTCAGGATCGATTTGCAAACATATTTTTGCTTTGTCATTATGGGGTATTGTGTGTACATTGATGAGGGGGAAAAGCTATTTAATCCATTTTAGAATAAGGCTGTAACGTAACAAAATGTGGAAAACGTGAAGGGGTCTGAATACTTTACGAGTGCACTGTAAATATAAAACTTTGATTTGCATCCACGCTCCATCCTCAAATCTGGCGGCTTATCCATTGAAAAAGTGTCATCCTGCAAATACCTAGGTATATGGTTAGATGTCAAGTTCATATGGATAATCTTGTGAGGAAGCTTAAATTGAAATTGGGTTTTTATTTTCGTAGTAAGGCTTGCTTACCGTTTATGGCTAGAAAGAAGCTTGTTCAGGCCACTTTTCTCTCTGTAATTGATTATGGTATGAAAAATGAATGCACTCACTAACTGTAAATCGCTCTGGATTAGAGCGTCTGCTAAATGACTAAAATGTAAATATAAATGGTGACTTGTTGTATATGCATGCAACCTCCTCTGTCTTACAGAGACTGGACTCTGTTTATCATGCATCTTTGCACTTCATTACAAATGCCAAGTCACACACCCACAATTGCACCTTGTACCAAATGGTGGGTTGGACCTCACTTTACATGCGCAGAAAGCTACATTTGTATGTGTCATCTACAAAGCCCTTTTGGGTAAACTCCCTCTTTACCTCTGTAGTCTGGTCTCCTTCTCCACCAGCAGTTACCATACCCGGTCTGCTAGGTGGTTGCTACTTAAAGTCCCCAGGACATTTACAGTATTAGGCAAGACTGCCTTCTCGTCTTGTGCACAAGAGGCATGGAATAGTTTACAATCCATGCTTCATCTAGATATGTTATTGCCACTGAATTAATTAAACATTTTGACTCTGTTACATGTTGTTGAATTATATTGTATTGTTGTATGTTTTAATTCTGTAATGTATTGATTGTTGCTGCCTTCTTGTCCAGGTCTCCCTTGAAAAAGAGACTGAGTCTCAAAGGGATTTTCAATGTAAAAAAAACACCTGTCAATCAACTGATCAACGCATCCTACTGCATGCTGCCTATTAACACAAGACCATTCATAGCTTTGGGACACAACATCGGGAGTCTGTGTATTGGTGTCCCAAAGCTAGACAGTTCAGTACTTTCAGGGTTCATTGTCATAGCGACAACTGCAAATAATACTTCAATGAACATGTAGGCCTAATGAAAAATTATATAGTAACTCGTATTTAAATGTAGCAATTTAACTACAAACACTGTTTAGTATATTTTACAGCATGTCGTTGCCTCGTTGCTCAAGTGGTTTGCAAGTGATCTCCATTTTTCTAATGGTTGTCAATTCCTTTGGGTCTTATTTTTCACTGTGCTCATCTCTCTGTATGTCCTGTGTTATTTGCAACGCATCAGTGCAACAATGTTATCATAACAGGCCAAAAGTGATCACACCAATGCACTTTCTCAACTCAACTTTCCCCAACATGCATTTTCTATGCTGTAGCCTAGGCCTGTTTTACATTCAGCAAATTACAGTGTCTTGCAAAAGTATTCATCCCCGTTGGCGTTTTTGCTATTTTGTTGCATTACAAGCTGTAATTTAAATAGATTTTTATTTGGATTTCATGTAATGGACATACACAAAATAGTCCAAATTGGTGAAGTGAAATGACAAAAATAACTTGTTTCAAAAAATTCTAGAAAAAACATTACGGAAAAGTGGTGCGTGTGTATGTATTCACCCCCTTTGCTATGAAGCCCCTAAATAAGATCTGGTGCAGCCAATTACCTCCAGAAGTCACATAATTAGTTAAATAAAGTCCACCTGTGTGCAATCTAAGTGTCACATGATATGTCACATGATCTCAGTATACACCTGATCTGCAACACCACTAAGCAAGGGGCACCACCAAGCAAGCGGCACCATGAAGAACAAGGAGCTCTCCAAACAGGTCAGGGACAAAGTTGTGGAGAAGTACAGATCAGGGTTGGGTTATAAAAAAATATCAGAAACTTTGAACATCCCACAGAGCACCATTAAATCCATTATTAAAAAATGGAAAGAATATGGCACCACAACAAACCTGCCAAGAGAGGGCCGCCCACCAAAACTCACGGACCAGGCAAGGAGGGCATTAATCAGAGAGGCAACAAAGAGACTAAAGATAACCCTGAAGGAGCTGCAAAGCTCCACAGCGGAGATTGGAGTATCTGTCCACAGGACCACTTTAAGCCGTACACTCCACAGAGCTGGGCTTTACAGAAGAGTGGCCAGAAAAAAGCCATTGCCTAAAGAAAGAAATAAGCAAACACATTTGGTGTTCGCCAAAAGGCATGTGGGAGACTCCCCAGACATATGGAAAAGGTACTCTGGTCAGATGAGACAAAAATTGAGCTTTTTGGTCATCAAGGAAAACGCTATGTCTGGCGCAAACCCAACACCTCTCATCACCCCGAGAACACCATCCCCACAGTGAAGCATGGTGGTGGCAGCATCATGCTTTGGGGATGTTTTTCATCGGCAGGGACTGGGAAACTGGTCAGAATTGAAGGAATGATGGATGGCGCTAAATACAGGGAAACCCTTGAGGGAAACCTGTTTCAGTCTTCCAGAGATTTGAGACTGGGACGGAGGTTCACCTTTCAGCAGGACAATGACCCTAAGCATACTGCTAAAGCAACACTCGAGTGGTTTAAGGGGAAACATTTAAATGTCTTGGAATGGCCTAGTCAAAGCCCAGACCTCAATCCAATTGAGAATCTGTGGTATGACTTAAAGATTGCTGTACACCAGCGGAACCCATCCAACTTGAAGGAGCTGGAGCAGTTTTGCCTTGAAGAATGGGCAAAAATCCCAGTGGCTAGATGTGCCAAGCTTATAGAGACATAGCCCAAGAGACCTGCAGCTGTAATTGCTGCAAAAGGTGGCTCTCCAAAGTATTGACTTTGGGGGGGGGGGGCGGGGGGGGGGGGGGGGGGGGGGGGGGGGGGGGGGTAAATAGTTATGCACGCTCAAGTGTTCTGTTTTTTTGTCTTATTTCTTGTTTGTTTCACAAAAACAAATATTTTGCATCTTCAAAGTGGTAGGCATGTTGTGTAAATCAAATGATACAAACCCCCCAAAAATCCATTTTATTTCCAAGTTGTAAGGCAACAAAATAGGAAAAATGGCAAGGGGGGTGAATACTTTCGCAAGCAGAAGCCTGCTTCTTTCCCTGAATAGTCTATTAGGCCTAGTATAAAAAAATTACATACATGTCCTATAGCTTTTGTAGCCTATAGCTTTTCCTTTGATTTCACAAAAAGAGGCTTGTATAGCCTGTAGCCTATTTCGCACGGGAACAGCAGGAAGAGAGAGGCTAGTGATGTGTAGCCAAAATAAGAAGTTAAATATTAGCTAGATATTACGCCATTCATTAGCTAAATATTAGGGCTATAGGCTAAATATTTATCTGTCAAAGTGCAAGAAAAACAGTTTACAGATTATGAAATGACAGATCTGTAGTGCGTTTCTTCCTCTGTGGTCCCCGGGCATGCAAAGCTCCGATCAGACCTAGGTCTACGTAGACAATACATTTATTATAACAGGGCTACAACAACACAGTGCAATGAGGAATGTATTATTGTTATCAAGTCAGTACACAATTAGGCTATTTTCCATAGGCTGTAAACTGCAGTGATGTAGGCTAATTTGAATAACCGCTCAAACGTCCTGTAACCGCTCAAACATCCTGTAACCACTCAAACATCCTGTTAGGCCTACAGCCTATGCCTGATTATGCAACCATTTGGATCAGATTTGGTCTATTCTTGACAGTTTAGAAGGTCCAGAATAATGTAATGAACAATGTTATTATTGTTTTCAAGTGAGTACAAAACTCTAGTCAATGCTGTGCCTATGTCATTTGAATAACTGCTCAAACGCCTGGCATTTTGAATGCATATTCAATTCGAAATAACTGCATCTAGACTGCCTGACTGGGCAACCATTTTGATCAGTTATGGAGTTTTCTCGGCAGTTTAGACTACAAAGTCCAGGGACATCAATGTCGATGTCCGCGCACCTGCAGAAATCTAATTAGCATAATAATAATAAAAAATGGTCTGTCCTCGGTTGCAACACTCACTCCCGAGTTCCAAACTGCCTTTTGGACCGAATGTCAGCACAATAACTGTTCATTGGGAGCTTCATGAAATGGGTTTTCATGGCCGAGCAGCCGCACACAAGCCTAAGATTACAATGCGCAATGCCAAGTGTCGGCTGGAGTGGTGCAAAGCTCGCCACTATTGGGACTCTGGAGCAGTGGAAATCCGTTATCTGGAGTGATGAATCACGCTTCACCATCTGGCAGTCCGTCTGGGTTTGGCGGATGACAGGTGAACGCTACCTGCCCCAATGCATAGTGCCAACTGTAAAGTTTGGTGGAGGAGGAATAATGGTCTGGGACTGTTTTTCATAGTTCAGGCTAGGACCCTTAGTTCCAGTGAAGGGAAATCTTAATGCTACAGCATGACATTCTAGACGATTCTGTGCTTCCAACTTTGTGGCAACAGTTTGGGGAAGACCCTTTCCTGTTTCAGCATGACAATGCCCCCGTGCACAAAGCGAGGTCCATACAGAAATGGTTTGTTGAGATCGTTGTGGAAGAACTTGACTGGCCTGCACAGAGCCCTGACTTCAACCCCATCAAACACCTTTGGGATGAATTGGAACGCCGACTGCGTGCCAGGCCTAATCGCCCAACATCAGTGCCCGACCTCACTAATACTCTTGTGGCTGAATGGAAGCAAGTCTCTGCATCAATATTTCATGGTCTGTTTGTCAGACCATGAAACATCCCGAAAATCGGTCTTCTCAAAAAATCGTCTGTAGCGTCCGAATGGTTTAGCCTACAAACTATTATGACCCCTCTATAGAAAGATGATACTCTCACAAACACATAATTGTTGGTTGGCTTGCACTAGGACCCTCACAGGCCTCACAAGAATGAATGGAAATATATATGGAGAATGTTTAGTGCCAAAAATAATGGGTTAAATACATCTTATGGGTTAGCAGGCCAGTAATATAGTTTCCGCATTTGGCTTCCATGTTTTTAAGGCGTTTGAATATGAGGTGGATAAATGCGGTATGGTTAAAGTGTGTGTGTGTGTGTGTGAAGGTACAAACAGTGAAATCAATGGCAATGTTGATCAAACCAGCATTGTGCAGGGCTACAGGGGACTACTGGGGTTTGTAATGTATCCCCTCACACTCCGGCCTAACAACTAAATTCATTAATGAAATGGTTTAAACAGGCAAAAAGTAATTGTCCGATTCCTCAGAGAGCTCTTAAGCATCTGTGGGATCACGCCTCTACAAACACAATCAGTAACATTACACTAAGTGCACACGGCCACGGTAGTCCTTAATCACATGAGGAATGATTATGAATTTACAAAGTCAGTCAGAGACTCTCAGGTGTGTCTTTAAGGCAGCTTTCTGGGCTGGCAGGGGCAGTTAAACTAATTTGAAAGCAGTTTATCAACTAGTCAATTACAGGCCCATTGTAAAAAGGACTTGGCAGTTAGATGGGCAAAGTCACTGAACATATCTGATGGGACTCTGTAATTGGTAGAATAGTCCGAGTTCTTGGCTCATTCGACTCTGTTTCCCCATGCAATGTTTTTGCGATATGAGAATGTGTTCTATGTAGTAAACATACATGGTAATTCGTAAATACTAAATACAATTATTTTAAAAAAACTGATGCATTGAATGTTCCATGTTTTCTTCATTGAAAGTGGAGGTACACAGCTTGGTAGACAGATACACATAAGGCATCAAGATAAGAGGGAATATCAGATTCTCCTCTGACATTTAATCTGACAGTCAAAAGCAGCCCATGCATGATGCGCAGTTTATGACCCTTTGCGTACAGTTGAAGTCGGAAGTTTACATACACTTAGGTTAGAGTCATAAAAACTCGTTTTTCAACCACTCCACACATTTCTAGTTAACAAACTATAGTTTTGGCAAGTTGGTTAGGACATCTACATTGTGCATGACACAATAACTTTTTAACAAAGATTATTTCACTTATAATTCACTGTTTCACAATTCCAGTGGGTCATAAGTTTACATACACTAAGTTGACTGTGCCTTTAAACATCTTGGAAAATTCCAGGAAATTATGTCATGGCTTTAGAAGCTTCTGATAGGCTAACTGACATAATTTGAGTCAATTGGAGGTGTACCTGTGGATGTCTTTCAAGGCCTACCTTCAAACTCAGTGCCTCTTTGCTTGACATCATGAAAAAAAAACTCAGAAAAAAATGTGTAGACCTCCACAAGTCTGGTTCATCCTTGGGAGCAATTTCCAAAATGCCTGAAGGTACCACGTTCATCTGTACAAACAATAGTAGGCAACTATAAACACCATGGGACCACGCAGCCGTCATACTGCTTAGGAAGGAGAGGCGTTCTGTCTCCTAGAGATGAACGCACTTTGGTGCGAAAAGTGCAAATCAATCCCAGAACAACAGCAAAGGACCTTGTGAAGATGCTGGAGGAAACAGGTACATAATTATCTATATCCACAGTAAAACGAGTCCTATATCAACATAACCTGAAAGGCTGCTCAGCAAGGAAGAAGCCGCCATAAAAAAGCCAGACTACGGTTTGCAACTGCACATGGGGACAAAGATCGTACTTTTTGGAGGAATGTCTTCTTGTCTGATGAAACAAAAATAGAACTGTTTGGCCATAATGACCATCGTTATGTTTGGAAGAAAAAGGGGGAAGGCTTGCAAGACTAACATTTAGTTTTCAACAGCAGAGATTTGTATAAACATTGCTGTCTGTCTCTACGACATTTGCAACATTGTTTCAATATTCAAATTCGTTCTCCATTGTCCCATAGTCTCATATTAAGCATCTCCAATCCAAAGTTAAATCTAGAATCAGCTTCCTATTTCGCAACAAAGCCTCCTTCACTTATGCTGCCAAACATGCCCTTGTAAAACTGACTATCCTACCGATCCTTTACTTCGGCGATGTCATTTACAAAATAGCCTCCAACACTCTACTCAGCAAATTGGATGTAGTCTATCACAGTGCCATCCGTTTTGTCACCAAAGCCCCATATACTACCCACCACTGTGACCTGTTCCCTCTTGTTGGCTGGTCCTCACTACATATTCGTCGCCAAACCCACTGGCTCCAAGCCATCTATAAACCACTGCTAGGCAAATCCCCGCCTTATCTTAGCTCATTGGTCACCATAGCAACACCCACCCGTAGTATGCGCTCCAGCAGGTATATCTCACTGGTCATCCCCAAAGCCAACACCTCCTTTGGCCGCCATTCCTTCCAGTTCTCTGCTGCCAATGACTGGAACGAACTGCAAAAATCTCTGAAGCTGGAGACTCTTATCTCCCTCACTAACTTTAAGCATCAGTTGTCAGAGCACCTTACCGATCACTGCACCTGTACACAGCCCATCTGAAATTAGCCCACCCAACTACCTCATCCCCATATTGTTATTTATTTTGCTCCTTTGCTCCCCAGTATCTCTATTTGCACATAATCTCTTGCACATCTAGCATTCCAGTGTTAATACTAATTGTAATTATTTTTTTATGTTTTGTTTTACCCTATATGTAACTCTGTGTTGTTGTTTTTATCGCACTGCTTTGTTTTATCTTGGCCAGGTCGCAGTTGTAAATGAGAACTTGTTCTCATCTGGCTTACCTGGTTAAATAAAGGTTAAATAAAAAACAAATAAATAAATACGGTAGTAATGAACGTGTCGGGAGTCGGGACGAGACAGACAGACAGGCAGTGTTTCTCAGCCAGTCGAAATCATGAATCAGCTGGCATCATTTTTATGGATATATACAAAGAAATGTAAATTGAAAAAAGGTCAAACGAAATGAAGTGCAGCTAGTTTGCAGTCTTTCCAGCTTCAGTTTGAAGTGATTGTGTTAGCTGTGTTGTGGGCTAGCTCCTCTGAACAACAGTGTCCTGACTAGTGAACACATTTTCTATACCAGGCGAAGTCGTGCCTCATTAGCTCATTGTCATGGATGTATCCAAATAAATGTCAATAGAAAACAGTTTGAACAAATGCAAATGCAGCTACTTTGCTGTTATTCTGGCTGCACTTTTTGATGTGACTGTAAGTTAGCTGTATTTGGCTAGCTAGCAAGCAAGGGATAAGAACGTTGCCAGCCAGTATGGCAATGGAACATTTAGAACGAACGACGTCCATAGATACAGAACAAAAAGACTGAACGACTGGGTCGCGTCTCTAGCAACCGAACCGATAGAATGATTTGTGGATCTTGTGGAAGGATGAAATAGTATGAAAAAATTCATCAAAATAACATTTTTAATAAAAAGATGTCAATCATTATTTGAATATATTGGTAATCCGTTGTATAAAAGTGATTATTACTTAAATAATGCCTTCATTGCTTTTGTGCTGAGTTTCACTATTTATCAAGGCCACTTGGCAATTATAATGATATTTAGGCTACTGATGTTTTCATTATTTGACCACACGTCTTGACCGTGTGTCTTGGTGGTTGGGGTATTTTTTATTCATTTTGTCATTATAAAAATAATCTGTTACAGTGTTCCAACACAAATGCTTTCTGTTTCATAGTTGTAGCAAAGGCACTCCACAAATAAAATGTATTGAACACTTTAAAAAAAAAAAAATCTTTCGTTTTTACATATAGCCTCAGTAATATAAACTAATGAAAAAGCTATTGTGTTGTTGGAAATAAAATAAAACAAGTATTATAATGTTACCCAGGCCTTCATAACCTAATTATTATTTTTGCAATAGCATATATAAAATGTATTAATTAGACTGTTAGAATGTTGCAGTCAGAATGACTGCTCATTAGCGTGAAGGTGGGTCCATCGAGGCCCAGCAGTTGTAGTGTTAATTACCTTCTGCCTTTGTAATATTATGTATCTGGAGTAAGATAAGTATTTCTCAGATTTAATTCTGCTGTTGAAATTGTGTTTTGAGGGCGAGTGCAAATGAAATGGCTAGGTAGCTAACTAGCTAGCTAGCTAGTAGCGTTGGCTAACCCAGAATCTGACAGACAAAGTTTAATCTCCTGTTTTTAGCTCCCCATATAATCTCTGCTTATTGGCTAACTAGCCACCTTGTCATTTGCATAAAGAGTGAACAGATTAATCAGATGTGTGTGGCAATAGCTAACTCATTATTATTAGGTTGCCACTAGATAAACTTGCTAAGCTAGCTAGCTGCAGTGTCAACCATGTAACGCCAGCGCAGCATCCCTCCATTGCTCTCTCTCTCACTGTGTGTGTGTGTGTGTGTGTGTCTGTCTAAATGTCATTTCTTTTTTATGACAAGGCCTATAACTATAAGCACATCTGTCATACAGTGTATAATCTCGGTAAGCTTTTTGTGCCATATAGCTAGCTATTCTTCGTGTTTTTTTGTTACAGCTTGTAGTGGCACAACTGAGGGGAAGGAGAATGGGCCAGCCAAGAAAAGAAAAGACCCTTCAAGTGGAAAGGAGTCGTTCGGAAGAGAACAGAGGGTAAATCCTACCTTGGCCAGAAAAAGATGAATGAGTTGAGTATGGCAATTGATATCTTCACTGTTGATTATTTATTACTTACATTATTCTTACCTGAATACCTACATTGATGTTTAATTCCTTGCTGAAATATGTCTTGATGATTTGCATACTTGTAACATGATTGAAAGTTGTCTGTCATGACTCAAAGTTGTCCGTCAAACCCCGTATCTCTACCACAGCGTTTTAAGTGAATCGCATGTTGTGGGTTCTCAGCCATGCTGAAATGTGTCTTGATGATTTGCATACTTGTAACATGATTGAGTTGACTATGGCAATTTATACCTGCTCTGTTTGATTATTTATTACTTACCTGAATACCTAACTTGATGTTTAATTCCATGCTGAAATGTGTCTGATTTGCATACTTGTAACATGATTGATAGTGACCATTGTATATTGATTGTTTTTTGATTGTAACACTTACCTGATCCTCCTTGATATTTCATTCTGAGTAAAAAATTAAACATCACACTTGGTGTAAATCTTTTTAGTAATTGAAACTGTACAGCCTACGGACGTTGTTTGATGTCAGTTTTCATTGGAGACTATCTGTGTTGGAGGACATCTGCAAGATGGTGCTGGCAGCCTTAAATAATACATTAATGTCAACTCAATTGCACTAAGTTGTTGTTCTTTTTGTTTGCTGTCACAGTTTACCATAAGCAGTAAAAACTTGCCAAACTAAATTTGTAACTAGTACTTAAGTAGTTTTCTGACCGGATACATTTTTACTCTTATTTGAGTAAATTACAATCTACAGTGAGGGAAAAAAGTATTTGATCCCCTGCTGATTTTGTACGTTTGCCCACTGACAAAGAAATGATCAGTCTATAATTTTAATGGTAGCTTTATTTGAACAGTGAGAGACAGAATAACAACAAAAAAATCAAGAAGAAAAAATTTTTCAAAAATGTTATAAATTGATTTGCATTTTAATGAGGGAAAGAAGTATGAATATAGTCCAGTTTGACCAGCCAACCCAACTAAAAGATGGTCCAGCCCATATGGCATTCGCCAGAATTGCCAGATGGCCAATCCACCCCTGCATATTGGGAGTTGATTGAACAGCTATTATTGATTGGTAGCCCGTCCCTGCAAACATGCATGTACAATTTGACCAGGTATTGAACGTGGGTTGTAAGAACAAGGCTGATGTATCCAAAAGGTTGATGTTAAGCCCACTGAGCTAAAGACTAAGGGCTAGGTAGTCACTTTCAGGTCTAAGCTCTAAGTCAAGATCTGACCACTGTGGCCACAGGGAACCAACAACACCCATACACAAAGCCTGCCAATGTTTGTACTTGACTTCTCAAGCAAACAGAGACAGACAAGCACACACAGAAATCGAGAGAGCATCATATCTGGGTCTGCTGGAGAGGCTGCCTGTTGGCTCTGACACCGTGCAGAGCATAACCATGAGATTCCATCAGATAGACACCTAATTATAGGTATTATCTTGGACCATGTCTGAGTCTGTCTGGTCTGAGGCCCAACACAGCTCTATGTTTGGGGAGAGAGAGAGCGAGAGCGAGAAGGGGGAGAGAGAGAGAGCGAGAGCGAGAGAAGCATCACAGCAAAATGTGGGACATGTTGTGATAAATAAAGGGCAACCAGTGGAGCACAACACCAAAGTAAATTAAACCTATATTTATCTGTTTATTTATTTTCCCCTTGCTAATTTGTACTTCTACTAACAACACTGCACATAGTAGAGAGAGAGAGAGAGAGAGAGAGAGACTGGTGAAATTGGACAGACAGACAGGACAGGAGGTGGAAGTAAAGTCAAAAACAGAGGAAAGAAAGAGGACATGGGAGGAAAAACAAGGGATAAACTTCTGAAAAAAGAGATGGAGCAAGATAACTCACTTTGCATTGCAATCTATGACATAAGTGGTGAGGCGAAAGCAGGCGAGGGTTCTGGCTTATAGGGAAAGACTTAAGAGGGGAGTAGGGCAGCCAAGGAGGTCAGAAAGCTTGGATGTTAGTTCACTGGTGAACTGAAGGAATGGCAAGAATATACACTGAGTATACAAAACATTAGGAACACCTGCTCTTTCCATGACAGACTGACCAGGTGAATCCAGGTGAAAGCTATGATCCCATATTGATGTCACTTGTTAAATCCACTTCAACCAGTGTAGATGAAGGGGATGAGACAGGTTAAAGAAGGATTTTTAAGCCTTGAGACAATTGAGACATAACCTGTGCCCCACACATTGACTCTGTACCGGTACCCCCTGCACATAGCCTCATTACTGTTCTTTTATTGTTCCTCGTTAATAAATCATTATTTTTCATTTAATTATTTTTTACTTCAGTTTATTTTAGTAAAAACTTTCTTAACACTTATTTTTCTTAAAACTGCATTGTTGGTTAAGGGCTTGTAAGTAAGCATTTCACTGTAAGGTCTATGCCTGTTGTACTCGGCACATGTAACAAATAACATTTGATTTGATTTGTATGTGTGCCATTTAGAGGGTGAATGGGCAAGACAAAAGATTTCAGTGCCTTTGAACAGGGTATGATAGTAGGTGTCAGGCGCACTGGTTTTTGTAAAGAACTGCAATGCTGCTGGATTTTTCAAGCTCAACAGTTTCCCATGTGTATCAAGAATGGTCCACCACCCAAAGGACATCCAGCCAACTTGACAACTGTGGGAACATGAAACAATTTCAAAGATTTTATTGAGTTACAGTTCATATAAGGAAATTAGTCAAATGAAATAAATTCATTAGGCCCTAATCTATGGATTTTACATGACTGGGAATACAGATTTGCATCAGATACCTTTAAAAAAAGTAGGGCCCTGCATCAGAAAACCAGTCAGCATCTGGTGTGACCACCATGTATCTCATGCAGAACACATCTCCTTTGCACAGTTGATCAGGCTGTTGATTGTGGCCTGTGGAATGTAAGTTGCTGGATATTGGCGGGAACTGGAACACGCTGTCGTACACATCAATCCATAGCATTCCAAACATGCTCAATTGGTGACATGTCTGGTGAGTATGCAGGCCATGGAAGAACTGGGACACTTGCTGAAACATGAGGTGATGGCGGCGGATGAATGGCACGACAATGGGCTTCAGGATCTTGTAACGGTATCTCTGTGCATTCAAATGCCATCGATAAAATGCAATTGTTTTCGCTGTCTGTAGCTTATGCCTGCCAATACCATAACCCCACCGCCACCATGGGGCACTCTGTTCACAACGTTGACAAACCGCTTGCCGGCACGATGCCATGCACTTGGTCGACAATTGTGAGGCCGGTTGGACGTTCTGCCAAATTCTCTAAAACGACGGAGGCGGCTTATGGTAGAGAAATGAACATTCAATTCTCTGGTAACAGCTCTGGTGGACATTCCTGCTGTCAGCATGCCAATTGCACACTCCCTCAAAACTTGAGACATCTGTAGAATTGTGTTGTGTGACAAAATTGCACATCTTAGAGGTGCCTTTTATTGTCCCCAGCACTAGGTGCAACTGTGTAATGATCATGCTGTTTAATCAGCTTCTTGATATGCCACATGTCAGGTGGACGGATTACTTTGGCAAAGGAGAATTGCTCACTAACAGAGAGAAATAAGCTTTTTGTGCGTTTGGAAAATTTCTGGGATCTTTTATTTCAGCTCATGAAACATGGGACCAAAACATTACATGTTGCGTTTCTATTTTTGTTCAATATAGAAAGATAGAGAGAGCGAGAGTAAGTAAGTTATTAACTGGTGCGCTGAAGGGATGGCAGAGATATGGAGGTTGGCTGCTCGGCGTTACAGGCTGCCAACTGGGAGGAAGCAGAGGCTTGCAGGGCACAGCATGGAGCCGTTAAAGCCTGGGATATAATCAGTCCACCCATAACACAAGTCCATAACATTTTTGCAGGCATCTCACTTTTTTAACACCTGAACAGCGCTTTTAATGGAGTGCATTACTCATTAAAATGACCAAACATGACTGTAGCTCAGTTGGTAGAGCATGGCGCTTGCTACGCCAGGGTTGTGGATTCGTTTCCCACGGGGGGCCAGTATGAAAATGTATGCACTCACTAACTGTAAGTCGCTCTGGATAAGAGCGTCTGCTAAATAACTAAAATGTAAAAATGTAAAATAATTATTTATAAGTTTCCCTTTTTCTCTACCAACATTTAAGCTTAAGTAATTCCCATACAGATAATTGTCAAGGAGGGCAGTCAATAGACGTTGAGTATTCCTTCTTAGAAAAAGAGGAAATTCCCTTATTTTGCAGTGGCTCATCCTCTTTGATTTTGTGTTTTAAGGTAAAAAGTGGATACTAGGATAATTAAGAAGACAAAATTACTCCTTTGTTCTTGAGACCTTTCCCTCTCTAAGCTGATGACAATATCTGTAGTAAACGCTAATTCTTATATAGGGTGCTACTCTACTGGGTGAGTATTTTTATTCACTAGTGTACACACGATAAACAAAACAACAAACGATACGTGAAGTCCAACGGTACTAACACAAACCAACACGGAACAAGATCCCACAAACACTGTGGGAAAACTGGCTGCATAAGTCTGGTTCCCAATCAGAGACAACAAGCAACAGCTGATACTCGTTGCCTCTGATTGAGAACCACACTGGCCAACATAGAAACACAATACTAGAAATACGACATAGAACAAAAACACAGACTCTACACACCCTGGCTCAACATAAAAGAGTCCCTAGAGCCAGGGCGTGACAGTACCCCCCACCCCAAAGGCGCGGACTGCGACCGCGCCTAAACATAACCGAACAGGGGAGGGCTGGGTGGGCATTCCTCCTTGGAGGCGGTTCCGGCTCCGGGCTTGACCACCATCCTCCAACAATCCCCCCGTAGCGCCCCTGGTCCGGTCTGGCCCCGCTGGCTGGAGCTGGACTGGACATCGTTGGAGCGGATTGCTTAGGCTCCGGTGTGGAGCAACTGACCGGTACCTGACCAGGCACCGATGAACCGGGCACGGGCTGTGCCGGACTGACGACACGCACCCCAGGCTTGGTGCGGGAAGCAGGAATGGGCCGGACCGGGCTGACGACGCGCACCCCTGGCTTGGTGCGGGGAGCAGGAACGGGCCGGACCGGGCTGACAATGCGCACCACAGGCTTGGTGTGGGGAGCAGGAACAGGCCGGGCCGGGCTGGCGACGCGCACCATTGGCTTGGTGCGGGGAGCAGGAACAGGCCGGGCCGGGCCGGCGACGCGCACCGTAGGCTTGGTGCGAGGGGCAGGAACAGGCCGGGCCGGGCTGGCGACGCGCACCATAGGCTTGGTGCGGGGAGCAGGAACAGGCCGGGCCGGGCCGGCGACGCGCACCGTAGGCTTGGTGCGGGGAGCAGGAACGGGCCGGGCCGGACTGGCGACGCGCACCATTGGCTTGGTGCGGGGAGCAGGAACGGGCCGGACCGGGCTGACGACGCGCACCACAGGCTTGGTGCGAGGGGCAGGAACAGGCCGGGCCGGGCTGGCGACGCGCACCGTAGGCTTGGTGCGAGGGACAGGAACAGGCCGGACCGTACTGGGAACACACACCACTGGCCTTAAACGGGGATCAGGAACGGGCCGGACCGGACTGGCAATACACCTCAGTACCTCTCGCCGTGCCTCTACATCTTCCTTCCCTCTTCTCACCAATGGCTCCCGTAACCCGGTGGCCTTCTCTCCTCGTCCACGAACTCGTCCCTTATCTGCCTCCAGCAGCCCCGTCGTCTATGCCATGTGCCCCCCCCTAAAAATTTATTGGGGGTGCCTCTCGCCTGTCCGACCATGGCCCGGTTGGCGCCGCTTCTCCTCTCCTGCCTGGGTCTCTCCCTTCATAGCCCTCCGGCAACGGACGGCCTCCTCCTCCGTGATCTGCCCCCAACCGAGGAGGACATCTACCAATGTCACCTCCTGCGTGTGCTCCTGGACACGCTGCTTGGTCCTAGTTCCACCCCTGGGTCAACAAATCTATTCTTGCTAAAATTGTTTTCCAAGTGGGTAATGAAGCATCACTGAGCTGTTGATAGCGGCAACAGTTTGTTGTTCACATTGTCCATATTGCAGCGAACGGCGGGGCAGGGAAGCAAACCAGAGACACGTTCCTGTGCTTCGACTACTCAGCCACCTCACATGTCCGGGACGTGCTTTGCGATTGGCTCACGGCCGCCATCCCACTTCTGACACCAATGTAGCGAACGGCTGGGCAGGGAAGCGAACCCGGTTTGCTGACGTGAAATGCAAACACATCTCACCAATAGGGTTAATCCACTTGGTGGGAATTGTAATGTGACACATATAGCGAGGATCGCTACAATACCCTCAGAGTACTATTCAAGCCACACAACCAATTACTTCAATTGGAAAGCATTCAGTTTCTCACTCTCTAGTTTGGTCCTGTGGCGATGGTGTGTTGACTCATTGTGTGAAGTACTATGAATGCCACTTAATTCTACGACGCACACTCACTGTAATAATACTGTATTACCATCACACAATACATTTCTTGCTAGCAACATCTTCAGTCCCACAATAAAGTCAGTAAATATTACAGGTACAAGTCATATTCAAAAGGGTACATAGTAGCTCTGAATGGCAGTATTGCAGTGTTTGCCTGTTGCATCCACAGTTTACGCTCATCACTTGAAACCACTTGCTCTCAGAGTAGGGTGAGGTTGAGAGTGTGCATGTGTGGCTGTGTATGTGTGTGTGTGTATGCGTGTGAGTGAACACTAACGTTCATTGACAAAACTTTAAAATTACGGCTTTAACCAGCACCGACACAGGAGAGAGCAAACTTTACCCCTGTATGCCCACCAACAACCCCCACATGACTCCAATGCTTCCCTCCGAAGGGACGCCAAACATCTCAAATGCATTATATATGCTCTCATAGACTTAATTGAAGTGTAAAATGTTATGTTCCACACCGATGCACTCCTAATAGGCCTGTGCTCAGTGACCAGCATGGTAAAGCAATTACAAGGCAATTACAACATGAGAGTGTGTTTTGAGTTTACCACAGTCAGAAATGAGACCAGGACCTTGATATCTGTTTAAGTGAGGTTTAAAACAAACTATGATGCACTGTCGAAACCAAACTGATTAGATATTTGCCTCTTTTATAATCAGAGTACTAATGTTTAATGTATGTTAATCTGTTGCACAGTGCTGGGAAATATTGGGTAGTTTAAAGCATTTAGCGGACCATTGGAAGTGACTAAGGTCCCATAACAGATGACTAAGGTCCCATAACAGATTGCTAATACACATGCTAATGGTTAGAGGTAAAATATCATTAACAAGGCTAGCAAGGTCATCAGAAACTCGCCCCTTTCAGTCCAGTATGTGATTAATTCATGACTTTTTAATTCAGAATTCATCCGCTTGCAGCTGAGTTTGACCTTTAGTGATTCAATGCACATTTCGCTTTAATTAAAATAATGAATCCCAAAATCAAACAGAGAGTGGCTCTTTTTGTTTTCTGCTAATGCAACATTGATCGTCTGTGCCGGTCTTTTATTAAATGCTTCTCAGTAACATGTATTAACAGAACTTAATGGGGAATTAGTTTTGCCACAAACTGCACTGAAATATGGAAGGAAAACAGCACAGGCTGATTTTAATTTTAAGGCATGTTTGAAATACTTATCAGTCCCGAAGATATTAGGATATGTTTTCAGCCTGATCGTAACCAGAAGGTCAATGGGTGATTGGCCTTATGTTGAAATTGAAAGCAGGCCAGCAAAACTAATGCTATCACTGGGAAGCACTGACCTTATAGTTGAGCTCAATCCAGTTAGAGAGATAACCGAATTTGATTAGCTGATTGCAGAGGCTGACTGTAGGGTCTGTTTGAGTGCTGCTGAAAAGATGACTGAAGACAGGAAGAAAATCACATAGAGGAAACAACCTACTCGTTCCATCCCCTATTGTACAGAGAGACAGTGAGAGAGACAGAGAGACAGAGAGACAGAGAGAGAGAGAGAGAGAGAGAGAGAGAGAGAGAGAATCTAACAACCATGCTCAATGCTCGCACAGGTCCAGACCAGGATGTTGAACTAGAGTAGATCAGAGCAGAGTCACTCTCCTACCTACACCATGTCAACTGTATGCTGCTGACACCTCTCCTCTCTGCCCCTCTATCTCTCCCAATCCCTCACTCTGAGAACTAATCTCTTATGGGAGACGGGCTGCAGCAGGACATTGGCCATCAGCGCACCGTGGCAACCGTCCGACAACACCCATCACTCCAAAGAGCCCTTCAGCTATGATGTCATCACAGCACACCAGTGACCTTCATTGATTGGAGCAGAGACGTTCTATGCCATCTGATTGGAGCAGAGTCGTTCCGTGCCACCCTAACAAGCTCTAATGAGTTTTAACGCATGACTTCTGATAGATCTAATAGATATATCCTAAAGGGCATGAACATATCCATTTTATGATTCATTTAGCTATGCCAAGGGGCTGGGCACAATGCTGACAACTGTCCAGTCTGCTCTGTGTGCTGCATTAGCATAGCTGCCTCAGCCTAGCATTATATTGAGGGTCTAATGTTAGTGCATTGTTGTGGTACAGGGTAACTACGTGATGGCGTGAAGATGTCCATGCTTGGTGACATTTGGATTTCAGTGCTACTTTTCCGTCCAGCTCTTGGTCTTTTCTGTCCTTTCTTCTAGCAGGTGAAAGAAATGAAATTGTACAGGAACCAGTTAAACAACTGTCATTACTGTGTCTGTCTCTCTATGCTATCTGATGTAAGATCACTCTGTCCAACACTAGACGTTCCCTGGGTTTCAGACAGTGTTTTAACACCTTTCTGTCTGGGTGAGGAGACAGAATGTTTCAGTTGTGTATTGTTGACTTCCTGCTCCAGCTGAGTGACAGGTTGAGAGCAAGAACAGATCTAAGTGATTTCCTCAGAGCAGTTAGTGTTCCATTATTCAAACACAATCCCTTTTGGCTTAACAGTTATCGATCAGATAGATGCATGTGTGTGTGTGCGCTTATACATGTCCTATTTCACACATGTACAAGTGTGTATTATACGCATGTGTGAATTGGAAAATAATTTTTTTGTTGCATATCCCAACTCCCCCAGAGACACCCTCGGAGAGTGGGGTCACGGCCAGGGTCTAAAATGATCAACGGCGACCCAGGAGCAATTAGCGTTAACTAGCAACCTTTCTGTTTGTGGCCCAACGCTCTAACCGCTAGGCTACCTGCCGCTCAGTGTGTGTGTCCATCCGTGCATGTATTCAGAACAGCCACATTCTTCCCCCACAGCCTGGTCAGAGCTGCTAAATTCCACACCTCGCCAGTCAGATAAATACCTTGAGTAAAGCAGAGCCGACAATCACTGCAAATATTAACTGACCCTGTGGTGCGTCAAACAAAATGTCAAAAGGGCTTAGCTGGAAAGCCCTGTGTGGTTGCTGCTTATGGTTGTTATTTGCTCATGTCACATACAGCTCTGCAGACCAGTCGATACAACCTGTCTCTTATCATCTAGAGAGGTTGATTCCTTTTATTTTTTCCATCCTGATATAAAATATCAGTCTGTCAATCTCCAGGCAATGAGAAATTAAATCAGCGACAATATAGAAAAATCAAACATATGGGACAAACTGAGAAATAAAGAAATCAGAAACATATGGGCAAGAGTAAATAAAATGTGTGCTAAAATAGTTACATCTATGAAAAGAAGTCTAATTGCAATGGTCATTTTACAATTAATTAGCCGATGCAGATGGCTTCACAGTGTGGACAGCTGGCTGACTGTCCCTTTCTCCTCTTCTTGTTTATCAGCTTCTGTCACAGCCATCAAAAATATGTCAAGTCCATCTCACATCATAGACCGATGTAGAGCCGAAGAGATGGTTCTAAACCTTCTGATGTTCTACTATGAGCTGCCACCGCCCCCTTGTGGATTTCTACTCTCATGACAGAGAGAGAGAGAGAGAGAGAGAGGTAGTGAGCTTATGGGCTCCTGAGTTCTTCTGCAAAAAGATAGAATTAGAGTTGGATAAATGTAGATAAACTAGATTTTTTTCACAAGTACTTATACAGGATACTAACCTCAACATCAAAACCTTCAATCCAAATGAAATTCCATACCTAAAACCTTGATTTTGGACAATATTACCTGAATGGACTATTACTACCAAGGACTATCAAGAAAAAACTTCTAACAAACCAAAACCTGCAGAAGAAACACAGCGGAAACTGGAAATACCATCCAACACAAAACTGACTGAGTAATATTCAGTCTGAAGCTACTTCTGAAGCGAAAAAGTAAAATACAATAATCTCTAGGTACTTTTGTTATATAAAGCTAAGTAAATAAGTATACTAAGCTACCAAGCTGCTAGGACAAAACAGACCTGGCTGCAACTTCAATTAGCATGGAAGTGTGAAGTCAGATGTGTGAAAACTCTTGAGCCCAACAATGGCAGGAGAGTTACAACCTCTGTCAACGTGTACAAGTCTGGGACAGTAATGGTGCAGGCATCCTCATGCAGTTCCAGCAGGACTTTTACGGGATCAAAGAGAGAGAACAGCAGGAAAAGCTCTCTCTCTCTGTGATGACTCCCCCATCCTGAGTGAGTCTAATCACACCCCAAATACATTCAATTGGATAAACTTTTTCCCAAACACAAAGTGGCTAAACTCTGGTGCCCAAACACTAGGCATGCCCTGGAGCTGTTGTCAGAGGACAGACTAGGGTCCCCCAGCCACATCATAAATCACACAGGCACAAAAGACCTGAGGGCCCAGCAGGAAAGGGTGGCCACAGCACTCAAGGGAGTGATTGAAAAAGCTTCTTCCACTTTCCCCAACCCACAAGTGGTTATATCCACCCTGCTACCATGAAAATACTTTCACCTTGTCACTATACAGCGGGTGAATGCAAGCATTTCGCGAGACTGTAACTCAAAACGTAATGTCTACCTGGCCCACCACTCCACCCTGGACTTGAACAGCCTTTATGACCAGGTCCACCTCTACAAGCCAGCAATCCCAACTTTTGCCAGGACCGTGAAGGACGTCACCCTCAACCATATCCCCAGCACCTCACACAGAAGCAACAGAGCAACGGACACCCCGCCCAGACCAGCGAGACACCCTCTCAGACCTGCAAGACCCCCTCCCGAAGGACCTGCACCGAGAGAACCCACACCAAGAGGACCTACACCCAGACCACAGCATCACCAGCCACACCCCAACCAGCTAAGACCACCCCAAGCAAACCCTGGCCACACCCTATATAGGCCCCCTCATATCAGACCTATGCCCCTTCTGCCCACCCCATTCCCCCCGCCCCTGTGGCAAGGACCTCAACATGACAGCAGGACATATGCCCAGGCAGTGAGCAGAGCAACAGGCCCAACCCCCACTATTACACCCGCCCAATCCCCATCCTGCGACCTAAGAGGTATGTATCAGATGCTCAACATGTTCTGCTCACACCTACTGTAATGATCCAGGCCTAAACCACACAAAAACAACACTAGACACCATGGAAAACAAAGCTTTTACTATCTCATCCTGGAATATACAAGGTATGAGGTCATCTGCCTTTGGCCTAAAGAGCAGGAACCCAGACTTCATCAAAGAAATTGGATATACAGACATTGTCATCCTACAAGAAACATGGTATAATTGGAGCCACTGGTTGCCCTCTAGGTTACAGAGAGCTGGTAGACCCATTCACCAAACTACCAGGAGTGAAACAAGGAAGAGACTCAGGGGGAATGCTAATTTGGTATAGAGCAGACCTAACCCACTCTGTTAAATTAGTCAAAACAGGAACATTTAACATCTGGCTAGAAATGAATAAGGAAATGATCTCAACAGAAATAAATGTCCTCATGTGTGCTACCTATATCCCCCCAATAGAATCCCCATACTTTAACGATGACAGCTTCTCCATCCTAGAGGGGGAGATCAACAATTTCCAGGCCCACAACATAACCAACAAAAACGGGTCACAACTCCTGCAGCTCTGTTGGACGCTGGGTATGTACAGTGGCTTGCGAAAGTATTCACTCCCTTTGGCATTTTTCCTATTTTATTGCCTTACAACCTGGAATTAAAATTGATTTTTGGGGGGTTTGTATCATTTGATTTACACAACATGCCTACCACTTTGAAGATGCAACATATTTTTTATTGTGAAACAAACAAAAAATAAGACATAAAAACAGAAAACTTGAGCGTGCATAACTATTCACCCCCCCCCCCCAAATCAATACTTTGGAGAGCCACCTTTTGCAGCAATTATAGCTGCAGGTCTCTTGGGGTATGTCTCTATAAGCTTGGCACATCTAGCCACTGGGATTTTTGCCCATTCTTCAAGGCAAAACTGCTCCAGCTCCTTCAAGTTGTTGTGTACATCATTCTTTAGGTCATACCACAGATTCTCAATTGGATTGAGGTCTGGGCTTTGACTAGGCCATTCCAAAACATTTATATGTTTCCCCTTAAACCACTCGATTGTTGCTTTAGCAGTATGCTTAGGGTCACTGTCCTGCTGGAAGGTGAACCTCCGTCCCAGTCTCAAATTTCTGGAAGACTGAAACAGGTTTCCCTCAAGGGTTTCCCTGTATTCCCAGTCCCTGCCGATTAAAAACATCCCCACAACATGATGCTGCCACAACCATGCTTCACTGTGGGGATGGTGTTCTCGGGGTGATGAGAGGTGTTGGGTTTGCGCCAGACATAGCGCAAACCCAACACATAGGTACTCCGAGCATGTGCTGACCAACTGGCAAGTGTCTTCACTGACATTTTCAACATGTCCCTGACTGAGTCTAATACCAACATGTTTCAAGCAGACCACCATAGTCCCTGTGCCCAAGGACACTAAGATAACCTGCCTAAATGACTACCGACCCGTAGCACTGACGTCTGTAGCCATGAAGTGCTTTGAAAGGCTGGTCATGGCTCACATCAACACCATTATCCCAGAAACCCTAGACCCACTCCAATTTGCATACCGCCCCAACAGATCCACAGATGATGCAATCTCTATTGCACTCCGCACTGCCCTTTCCCACCTGGACAAGAGGAACACCTACATGAGAATGCTATTCATTGACTACAGCTCAGCATTCAACACCATAGTGCCCTCAAAGCTCATCACAAAGCTAAGGATCCTGGGACTAAACACCTCCCTCTGCAACTGGATCCTGGACTTTCTGACGGGCTGCCCCCAGGTGGTAAGGGTAGGTAACAACACATCTACCACACTGATCCTCAACACGGGGGCCCCTCAGGGGTGCGTGCTCAGTCCCCTCCTGTACTCCCTGTTCACCCATGACTGCATGGCCAGGCACAACTCCAACACCATCATTAAGTTTGCCGACGACACAACAGTGGTATGCCTGATCACCGACAACGATGAGACAGCCTATAGGGAGGAGGTCAGAGACCTGGCCGTGTGGTGCCAGGATAACAACCTCTCCCTCAACGTGACCAAGACAAAGGAGATGATTGTGGACTACAGGAAAGAAAAGAGGACTGAGCACGCCCCCATTCTCATTGACGGGGCTGTAGTGGAACAGGTTGAGAGCTTCAAGTTCCTTGGTGTCCACATCACCAACGAACTATCATGGTCAAAACACACCAAGACCGTTGTGAAGAGGGCATGACAAAGCCTATTCCCCCTCAGGAGACCCTCAAAAAATTATACAGCTGCACCATCGAGAGCATCCTGACTGGTTACATCATCGCCTGGTATGGCAACTGCTTGGCCTCCGACCGCAAGGCACTACAGAGGGTAGTGCGTATGGCCCAGTACATCACTGGGGCCAAGCTTCCTGCCATCCAGGACCTCTATACCAGGTGGTGTCAGAGGAAGGCCCTCAAAATTGTCAAAGACTCCAGCCTCCGGCAAGCGGTACCGGAGTGCCAAGTCTAGGTCCAAAAGACTTCTCAACAGCTTCTACCCCCAAGCCATAAGACTCCTGAACAGCTAATCATGGCTACCCGGACTATTTGCACTGCCCCCCCCCACCCCATATTTTTACGCTGCTTCTACTCTGTTAATTATTTATGCATAGTCACTTTAACTCTACCCACATGTACATATTACTTCAACTACCTCAACTAGCCGGTGCCCCCGCACATTGACTCTGCACCGGTACCCCCCTGTATATATAGCCTCCCTACTGTTATTTTATTTTACTTCTGCTCTTTTTTTCTCAACACTTTTTTGTTGTTGTTTTATTTTACTTTTTTATTAAAAATAAATGCACTGTTGGTTAAGGGCTGTAAGTAAGCATTTCACTGTAATGTCTGCACCTGTTGTATTCGGCGCATGTGGCCAATACAATTTGATTTGATTTCCTTGATGGCTAAACAGCTCAATTTTAGTCTCATCTGACCAGAGTACTTTCTTCCATGTGTTTGGGGAGTCTCCCACATGGCTTTTGGCGAACACCAAACGTGTTTGCTTATTTCTTTCTTTAAGCAATGGCTTTTTTCTGGCCACTCTTCCGTAAAGCCCAGCTCTGTGGAGTGTACGGCTTAAAGTGGTCCTATGGACAGATACTCCAATGGTGGGCGGCCCTCTCTTGGCAGGTTTGTTGTGGTGCCATATTCTTTCCATTTTTTTATAATGGATTTAATGGTGCTCCGTGGGATGTTGAAAGTTTCAGATATTTTATTATAACCCAACCCTGATCTGTACTTCTCCACAACTTTGTCCCTGACCTGTTTGGAGAGCTCCTTCATCTTCATGGTGCCGCTTGCTTGGTGATGCCCCTTGCTTAGTGGTGTTGCAGACTCTGGGGCCTTTCTGAACAGGTGTATATATACTGAGATCATGTGACAGATCATGTGACACTTAGATTGCACACAGGTGGACTTTATTTAACTAATTATGTGACTTCTGAAGGTAATTGGTTGCACCAGATCTTATTTAGGGGCTTCATAGCAAAGGGGGTCAATACATATGCACGCACCACTTTTCCGTTATTTATTTTTTAGACCTTTTTGAAACAAATAATTTATTTCATTTCACTTCACCAATTTGGACTATTTTATATATGTCCATTACATGAAATCCAAATAAAAATCAATTTAAATTACAGGTTGTAATGCAACAAAATAGGAAAAACGCTAAGGGGGATGAATACTTTTGCAAGGCACTGTACATAGTCAATGGTAGGCTTCGAGGGGACTCCTACAGTAGGTACACCTATAGCTCATCTCTTGGTAGTAGTACTGTAGACTACTTTATCACTGACCTCAACCCAGAGTCTCTTAGAGCATTCACAGTTACTCCACTGACACCCCTATCAGATCACAGCAAAATAACACTCTACTTGAACAGAGCTATGCTCAATCATTAGGCATCAAAGCCAAAGGAACTGAATAATATTAAGAAAATATCTACCAAAAACAATTAGGCAACAACAAATTCCATCCCTTCTAGACAATTTCCTGGACAAAATTATGGTGAATCACTAAAACGATACAGAAATACACTACGGAAAATAAAGAATCCATAGAATCTAACCACTTCTGGGAAAATTTGAAAACTCTAAACAAACAACAACACGAAGAGTTATCTATCCAAAACGGAGACTTCTCCAATCTTTTTGTCTCTATAACAAAGAACAAACCGCAAAAACATATACATGATCAAATACAAATCTTAGAATCAAATATTAAAGACTACCCATTGGATTCTCCAATTACATTGAATGAACTACATGACAAAATACAAACCCTCCAACCCAAAAAGGCCTGTGGGTTGATGGTATCCTAAATTAAATTATAAAATATACAGACCACAAATTCCAATTGGCTATACTTAAACTCTTTAACATCATCCTCAGCTCTGGCATCTTCCCCAATATTTGGGACCAAGGACTGATCACTCCAATTCACAAAATACCAATTTGACCCCAATAACTACCGTGGGCTATGCATCAACAGCAACCTTGGGAAAATCCTCTGCATTATCATTAACAGCAGACTCGTGCATTTCCTCAGCGAAAGCAATGTACTGAGCAAAAGCCCCACCCTCTTCAACATATATATCAACGAATTGGTGAGGGCACTAGAACAGTCTGCAGCACCCGGCCTCACCATACTAGAATCTGAAGTCAAATGTCTACGGTTTTCTGATGATCTGGTGCTTCTGTCCCCAACCAAGGAGGGCCTACAGCAGCACCTTGATCTTCTGCACAGATTCTGTCAGACCTGGGACCTGACAGTAAATCTCAGTAAGATAAAAAATAATGGTGTTCCAAAAAGGTCCAGTTGCCAGGACCACGAATACAAATTCCATCTAGACACCATTGCCCTAGAGCGCACAAAAAACTATACATACCTCAGCCTAAACATCAGCGCCACAGGTAACTTCCACAAAGCTGTGAACGATGTGAGAGACAAGGCAAGACGGGCCTTCTATGCCATCAAAAGGAACATAAAATTCGACATACCAATTAGGATCTGGCTAAAAATACTTGAATCAGTTATAGAACCCATTGCCCTTTATGGTTGTGAGGTCTGGGGTCCGTTCACCAACCAAGAATTCACAAAATGGGACAAACACCAAATTGAGACTCTGCATGCAGAATTCTGCAAAAATATATTTTGTGTACAACATAAAACACCAAATAATGCATGCAGAGCAGAATTAGGCCAATACCCGCTAATTATCAAAATCCAGAAAAGAGCCGTTAAATTCTACAACCACCTAAAAGGAAGCGATTCCCAAACCTTCCATAACAAAGCCATCACCTACAGAGAAATTAACCTGGAGAAGAGCCCCCTAAGCAAGCTGGTCCTGGGGCTCTGTTCAAACACAAACAGACCCCACAGATCCCCAGGACAGCAACACAATTAGACCCAACCAAATCATAAGAAAACAAAAAGATAATTACTTGACACATTGGAAAGAATTTACAGAAAAACAGAGCAAAAAAACTAGAATGCTATTTGGCCCTAAACAGAGACTACACAGTGGCAGTATACCTGACCACTGTGACTGACCCAACATTAAGGAAATCTTTGACTATGTACAGACTCAGTGAGCATAGCCTTGCTATTGAGAAAGGCTGCCGAAGGCAGACCTGGCTCTCAAGAGAAGACAGGCTATGTGCTCTGATGTGGTGATTTGAAGGAGTCAGGCGCAGGAGGGTAAATCACAGAATAACAGGATTTATTCCAGAATACAGAGTTACGCAATAAAGCGTCAAAACAGTCCAGTGCGCAAAACAGGCGCACTGAAACCAAGAAGGCACACAGGGAAAATAACCTGGTGATACAAAATACAAGGAGCTCCACTGAGCTTCACTAATCTCACAATATACAATCACACACAAAGACAAGGGGGCAGATGGAACACTTATACAGGTACTGATGAGGGGATATGAACCAGGTGTGTGTAATAAACAAGACAAAACAAATGGCATGATGAGATGAGGAGCGGCAGTGACTAGAAGGCTGGTGACGATGAACGCCGAAGCCTGCCCGAACAAGGAGAGGAGGCAGCCTCGGAGGAAGTCGTGACATGTGCACACTGCCCAAAAAATGAGTAAACAAATCCAATTTTGATAATCTCCCATATCTATTGGGTGAAATACCATAGTGTGCAATCACAGCAGCAAGATTTGTGACCTGTTGCCACAAGAAAAGAGCATCTAGTGAAGAACAAACACCATTGTAAATACAACCTATATTTATGTTTAGTTATTTTCCCATTTGTACTTTAACTATTTGCACATCATTACAACACTGTATATAGACATAATATGACATTTGAAATGTCTTTATTCTTTTGGAACTTTTGTGAGTGTAATGTTTACTGTTCATTTTTTATTGTTTATTTCACTTTGTTTATTATCTATTTCACTTGCTTTGGCAATGTAAACATATGTTTCCCATGCTGATAAAGCCCATTGAATTGAGAGAGAGAGAGAGAGAGAGAGAGAGAGAGAGAGAGAGTGTGAGTTAGTTATTAACTGGCGAGCTGAAGGGATGGCAGAGATATGGAGGTTGGCAGCTCAGTGGTACAGGCTGCCAACGGAGGAAGCGGAGGCTCGCAGGGCACAGCATGGAGCCGTTACTGCCTGGGATTTAATCTGTCCACCCAGAGAGAGAGAGATAGATAGATAGATAGATAGATAGATAGATAGATAGATAGATAGATAGATAGATAGATAGATAGATAGATGTCTCTGAGATCCAGCGTTCTCTGTCAGGGAATTGATAAGGCTCTCGTCAATGTGGATGGTTATGTTGTTTCTACACTCAAGTCTCAATCTGCCGAATGCTAAGCATTCGATAGCACCTGTATGGGCTGTGTTGCTGACAACCTGGCCTGATGCTTCACAACTAATAATGTTTACTAATATTTTTTTCCTGGCCCTGGTTGATCAGAAAAAGGAGAGGAAGAATAATAAATTAATAGCTAGTAAACAAGGTCTTTATGATAGCTTGTTTACCATTTTAAGGTTATCATACCAGGAATACTATGTTCATCTTCCAACCACTGTTGGCCTTTATAATGATGCACATAGCTTTTAGGAGTAATCCTACTCTAGCATTATCAATTAAAAAGCAAGGGTTGTAAAAGTACAAAAAAAACGTGTTTTAGTTTCCACATCTTATCAGTGAGCCTCAGTCAGAGTGCTGTTATGCAGGGAAGCCAGCCAACTACACACACACACACACACACCACACCACACACACACACTTATCTGGACCTCACAACTATATCACCCACCGCTTGTTTCAAAGATGCTCTGGCAGCAGGGGACCTGCAAACAGAGGAATGGAGGTATTAGGGGGGTAGGTAAGTAAGGGAGAAAAGTTATGTATCATATGTGGATCAGATCAACCAGACCATAGTGTTTACCTCTATCTGCCTCCTGTGGTCTGGGTCCTTCTCCCACTGTGGGAGTCTGAATCTCACCTCCTCGTTCACAGGCTCAGCCCCACCTGTAGTCAGCTATTGTGCTCTTCTATAAAACTGGCTGTGAATTAAATAAGGACACACACACATCGACACAGACAGACAGAAGCAAAAAGAAGAGTTGTCATTCTAAGCATGACCTTTGAATAGCTTTAGTATCTTCCTTAGTACGCCTGTAAAGAGTACAAAAGTAGCTTATCCAAGGGTGATGAGTCCAATTTGTTATGCTGTTGTGCCATAGGGCTTGAACTATGTTTTACAGCTATATTTTCATATTAAATTCTGAGCATTTTAACTATGAAAGAGATGGAGGGTGACATATTTATGACAACACCCATACCTGGGGTTCACCCCCGTATTTTTCATCTTAATGCTCCCTGTCTGTCTGGCTAGCTCTCCCTCTCCAAACCTCAGGGGGAGCAATAACAATGGGAGCGACCAGGTGACTTTACAGTCAATCTCACCTTGGGTTTATCTCCACCTCCATATCACTGCAGATTAAACAGGCTGAATTCGACTGAGCTCAGTCCAGCCTTGGTGAGACGTCCCTGGGGAGCAACAGAGAGAAGATGGGGTTGGCCCAACGAGTGTTGGCTTCACAGCGGAGGTTGGGTGGACCCCATGGTGCTGCTCTGTGTCTATGGCTTCAGCTCAATAATGGAGGCCCTCTGAGCCTTTCCTCACGGACTACCTCATCGGGCCATACAAGAACCTTACCACCCAACAGGTATGGCACATTCATTGTTTATTCATTTAACCTTGATTTAGCCAGATAAGTCATATCACAAATTCTATTTTATGATAACGACAAATGCTTTTATGTGAATGTATTGTTGTATGATATATCCTGCCATTTTCCTGATCTTTCCACAGGTTACGAGGCAGGTGTTCCCAATATGGGCGTATTCCATCCTCTTCCTACTCATCCCAGTCTTCCTGGTAACAGACATCCTGAAGTACAAGTCTGGCATCATCCTCCAGGCGCTTAACTACATCCTGGCATTTATCATGTTCATCTTCAGCTCCTGTAGCTCAGTTGGTAGAGCATGGCGCTTGCAACGCCAGGATTGTGGGTTCAATTCCCACGGGGGGCCAGTATGAAAAATGTATGCACTCACTTAACTGTAAGTCGCTCTGGATAAGAGCGTCTGCTAAATGACTAAAATGTAAAATGGTGTGGTGTTGACTCAGTGCAACCTTATCATCTACAGTATGGGCGCTGTGGGAGATGTGGCCTACTATTCCTATATCTACAGTGTGGTCCTCTGCCAGTATTACCAGAGTTTGACTAGCTATGCCAGAGGGGCTGTGCTACTGGGATATGCACTGGAGCCATGTTGGGCCAACTCCTGCTGTCCCTCTACTGCCTCAATGTCATTACCTTGGGCTCCCTCTGTGTAGCGCTGTTGGCCGCACTCCTCCTGCCCATGCCCCAGAGAAAAATGTTTCTTTGGGGGGACTCTGTCTGATGACCCATTCGAGGAGGTTGTGTCCAGTTCATGTGGATCCTGGTTTGTGTGGTGGCTGAGAAGGAGGAGGAGGGTCAGGAGGGAAGTAATGAGAGCTCTGAGGAGGTTGGCGGTGGATTGCAAGGAGTGTTACTCCTCTGTCTCTGTGCTGTTCTTCTGTGTGTGGTCAGCTATGGGCAAGTTTGGTAATACCAGATCAGAGTACACGTGCAGCTCCTTTGGGCATCCAAATAGCCCCAGTACAACTTCATGGAAGGGTGGAGGCTGTCGTCACACTCAGGTAACAATATACAGTTGAAGTCGGAAATGTACATACAATTAGTCATTAAAACTCATTTTTCAACCACTCCACAAATTGCTTGTTAACTAACTACAGTTTTGGCAAGACGGCTAGGACATCTAATTTGTGCATGACACAAGTAATTTTTCCAACAATTGTTTACAGACAGATTATTTCACATAAAATTCACTGTATCACATTCCAGTTGGTCAGAAATGTACTTACACTAAATTGACTGTGCCTTTAAACAGCTTGGAAAATTCCAGAAAATGATGTCATGGCTTTAGAAGCTTCTGATAGGCTAATTGACATCATTTGAATCAATTGGAGGTGTACCTGTGTATGTATTTCAAGGCCTACCTTCAAACTCAGTGCCTCTGTGCTTGACATCATGGGAAAATCAAAATAAATCAGCCAAGACCTCAGAAAAACAATTTCCAAAAGCCTGAAGGTACCACGTTCATCTGTACAAACAATAGTACTGCTGACGAGGTGTGAAGGAAGGAGTCAGGCACAGGAGGTAAAATACTGAAGTCCAGTTTAATCCGTTTGCATAAATCAAACGCCCCAAGCGTCAAACGAAAATGTACAAGGGAAAACATCCACCTTGGCAAATAACACAGTGAAATGTACCTCAACCAAGCTACACGCTCTCACAACAAAACAATCACTCACAAAGACAAGGGGAACAAAGGGAACACTTATACACATACTAATTAGGGGAATGAGCACCAGGTGTGTGTGATTGGCAAGACATGAAATGTGGAGTGATGAGAATGAGATCGGCAGTAGCTAGTACTCCGGTAACGACGAACGCCGAAGCCTGCACGAACCAGGAGGGGGGGCAGCCTCGGCGGAAGTCGTGACAAGTACGCAAGTATAAACACCATGGGACCACGCAGCCATCATACCACTCAGGAAGGAAACGCGTTCTGTCTCCTAGAGATTAATGTACTTTGGTGCGAAAAGTGAAAATCAATCCCAGAACAACAGCAAAAGACCTTGTGAAGATGCTGGAGGAAGCAGGTACAAAAGTATCTATATCCACAGTAAAACGAGTCATATATCGACATAACCTGAAAGGCCGCTCAGCAAGGAAGAAGCCACTGCTCCAAAACCGCCATAAAAAAGCCAGACTACGTTTTGCAACTGCACATGGGGACAAATATCTTACTTTTTGGAGAAATGTCCTCTGGTCTGATGAAACAAAAATAGAACTGTTTGGCCATAATCACCATCGTTATGTTTTGGAGGAAAAATTGGATATCTTGCAAGCCGAAGAACACCATCCCAACCGTGAAGCACGGGGTGGCAGCATCATGCTGTGGGGGTGCTTTGCAGCAGGAGGGACTGGTGCACTTCACAAAATAGATGGCATTATGAGGAAGGAAAATTATGTGGATATATTGTGAGGAAATTATGTGGATATATATTGTGGTCCTCTGTAGCTCAATTGGTAGAGAATGGCGCTTGTAACACCAGGGTAGTGGGTTCGATCCCCAGGACCACCCATACGTAAAAATGTATGCACACGTGACTGTAAGTCGCTTTGGATAAAAGCGTCTGCTAAATGGTATATTATTATTATATTATTATTATATATGAAGCAACATCTCAAGACATCAGTCAGGAAGTTAAAGCTTGGTCACAAATGGGTCTTCCAAATGGACAATGATCCCAAGCATACTTCCAAAGTTGTGGCAAAATGGCTTATGGACAACAAAGTCAAGGTATTGGAGTGGCCATCACAAAGCCCTGACCTCAAAACTATAGAAAATGTGTGGGCAGAACTGAAAAAGCGTGTGCGAGCAAGGAGGCCTACAAACCTGACTCAGTTACACTAGCTCTGTTAGGAGGAATGGGCCAAAATTCACCCAACTTATTGTGGGAAGCTTGTGGAAGGCTACCCGAAATGTTTGACCCAAGTTAAACAATTTAAAGGCAATGCTACCAAATACTAATTGAGTGTATGTAAACTTCTGACCCACTGGGAATGCGATGAAAGAAATAAAAGCTGAAATAAATCATTCTCTCCACTATTATTCTGACATTTCACATTCTTAAAATAAAGTGGTGATCCTAACTGACCTAAGACAGGGAATTTTTACTAGGATTAAATGGCAGGAATTGTGAAAAACCTGAGTTTAAATGTATTTGGCTAAGGTGTATGTAAACTTCCGACTTCAACTGTAACTACTCTCTAAAAAAAACTCTCCACATGCCTCTTGGTAAAGCTCTGGAGTTAAACCCCATATTTTCTCTACTTTCACAGTCCTAACAAATGTAATTTTTGTAATTAACATGTAATCTTTGGCAATCTATGGTAACTTTGGTAGTTTATTTCAATAACTTTTAATAAATGTATTCGTATACAGTGGCTTGCAAAAGTATTCACCCCCCCTTGGCATTTTTCCTATTTTGTTGCCTTACAACCTGGAATTAATATAGATTTTTGGGGGGTTTGTATCATTTGATTTACACAACATGCCTACCACTTTGAATATGCAAAATATTTTTTGGGGTGAAACAAACAAGAAATAAGACAAAAAACAGAAAACTTGAGCGTGCATAACTATTCACCCCCCCAAAGTCAATACTTTGGAGAGACACCTTTTGCAGCAATTACAGCTGCAAGTCTCTTGGGGTATGTCTCTATAAGCTTGGCACATCTAGCCACTAGGATTTTTGCCCATTCATCAAGGCAAAACTGCTCCAGCTCCTTCAAGTTGGATGGGTTCCGCTCGTGTACAGCAATCTTTAAATCATACCACAGATTCTCAATTGGATTGAGGTCTGGGCTTTGACTAGGCCATTCCAAGACATTTATAGTTTTTGCCCATTGCTTACACACTAAAACCGAATGGTCAGACCAAAGCCTCAATACCTAAACTTCTTGTAGCATACCTTAAACACAGTGTAACCATAGCTTAAACACAATGTCAACTTTGCACTTTGTTTGCAATTCTGTAACACACTTATTGCGAAACACTACACACGTTTTCTTACATTAGACACTTCACGAAACAAAATCACCTGTTATCATTGGGAAAACACTCTGTTCAAAATGCAAAACTCATCTGGCAATTGTATGCACTTACATACACACCTGAAAACACTTGCACAGAAAACAGAACACCAATCAGTCTGAACCTTAGCACTACAAATAGGCCTCAGGTAAGCCATTTTTAGAACTTTGCAAGCATGGAGGCAATGAGAGTCAGAGTAAGAGGAGGACAAAGAGAGAGAGGAGTCGGATGTGGAAGAGGACGAGGACCAGTGCGGAGACGTATATCAGATGACATCAGGGCTACTCTGGTGGACCATGTGATAAATCATGGCCTGTCCATGAGGGAGGCTGGGCAAAGAGTCCACCCTAACCTCAGTCGCTACACAGTAGCATCGATAATAAGGACATTCCGACTGGAGAACAGGTATATCTTCAAGTTTCTACTCCAGACTGTACCTACTGTATGTGTCACATGATTCTGTATCATATTACAGTATTACTGTACTAACTATACTATACAAAAATGGGTAGTGCTGTGAAGTACTGTATATGTAAAGGAATACCATTGTGATGTTGCAGTACTGTATACAGTTTGAAAGTACAGTATGTGAAAAATAACCTAACCAATAACATCTTGTGGTGGCATTTTCTACAGAATGGTTGGACGACCTCCTCAAGGTGGAAGGGAATGGCTCTTCACTCAACAACAAGAGCTTGCCATCATTGAAATGGTGCGAGAAAATAATGCAATCCAACTTCGTGAGTTGCAACAACGCATAATTGCAAATGGAAATGAATTCAACAATATCAACAGGGTCAGCATTTCTACACTAAGTCACATCCAACAGAAACATAACTTCAGAATGAAGCAGCTGTACAGTGTGCCATTTGAGAGGAACAGTGTCAGGGTCAAGGATCTGCGCCATGATTATGTGCAGGTATGTGTCACTTTACTTTACATACTATGTATTGTGATGTGGGAATGAGGGTTTATGCTGCCACCTGCCCTGCCTGTAGCTTGTAGTTTTTGTCTATACTCACCCAACCCAGCCCCTACTTGTGTGAAAATATAGACATTGTAGTTACTGTATGTGTTTTCAGTAACACTATTCAATATTTTCTGTTACAGACAGTTCTGGAGTTTGATGCCGCCGAACTGCCTCATGAGTTCATCTACGTGGATGAGGCAGGCTTCAATCTGGCCAAAACCAGGCGTCGGGGCCGTAACGTAGTTGGACAAAGGGCTGTTGTAAATGTAAATCCGAACAGAAGGCGTGATCCATATGCCCCCCCCGTCCCCCCACCACACACACGCACACGCACACGCACACACACACGCACACACACACAAAACAAGTATATGTTTTTTCCCCCAATAGCAATTTATCCAGTAATTGTTTTGTTTTTTTACTTTTGTTTTGTTGCTAAATTTGAAGTTAAGAATTTCTGTAAGAATGTTAGTTTTTTTGTAAAAACTTTTTTGTAAATACTGTTTGATTACTGCAGAAATTCTACTTTTGAGTTTTACAGAAGACAATGACAATAAAATGACAATAAAAATAGAAACACAAAGACTGCAGTGTTTTATATAAAGCCCATCAGTGTGTTGCTTGTGATATGAAAGAGTAATTCAAATGTTGCTTGTGTGCATGGTTTTGTTGCAAGAATTTCATTTTTAGAAAGGAGTGTTAATTTTTGATTGTTTCATTTTGGCATATATGTGAGTTGTTAATCTCCAAGTGCTATGTTTGATTGGCTTGTGTGATGAGTTTTGACATAATGAGCCAAATTCTGCAAAAAGTGTGTAAGCAATAGGCAAAAACTGTAAATGTTTCCCCTTAAATCACTTGAGTGTTGCTTTAGCAGTATGTTTAGAGTCATTGTCCTGCTGGAAGGTGAACATCCGTCCCAGTCTCAAATCTCTGGAAGACTGAAACAGGTTTCCCTCAAGAATGTCCCTGTATTCAGCGCCATCCATCATTCCTTCAATTCTGAACAGTTTCCCAGTCCCTGCCGATGAAAACATCCCCACAACATGATGCTGCCACCACCATGCTTCACTGTGGGGATGGTGTTCTCGGGGTGATGAGAAGTGTTGGGTTTGCGCCAGACATAGCGTTTTCCTTGATGGCCAAAAAGCTCAATTTTAGTCTCATCTGACCAGAGTACCTTCTTCCATATGTTTGGGGAGTCTCCCACATGCCTTTTGGCGAACACCAAACGTGTTTACTTATTTTTTTTCTTTAAGCAATGGCTTTTTTCTGGCCACTCTTCCGTAAAGCCCAGCTCTGTGGAGTGTACGGCTTAAAGTGGTCCTATGGACAGATACTCCAATCTTCACTGTGGAGCTTTGCAGCTCCTTCAGGGTTGTATTTGGTCTCTTTGTTGCCTCTCTGATTAATGGCCTCCTTGCCTGGTCCGTGAGTTTTGGTGGGCGGCCCTCTTTTGGCAGGTTCATTTTGTGGTGCCATATTCTTTCCAATTTTTTATAATGGATTTAATGGTGCTCTGAGGGATGTTCAAAGTTTCTGATATTTTTTTATAACCCAACCCTGATCTGTACTTCTCCACAACTTTATCACTGACAGTTTGGAAAGCTCCTTGGTCTTCATGGGGCCGCTTGCTTGGTGGTGCCCCTCGCTCAGTGGTGTTGCAGACTCTGGGGCCTTTCAGAACAGGTGTATATATACTGAGATCATGTGACAGATCATGTGACACTTAGATTGCACACAGGTGGACTTTATTTAACTAATTATGTGACTTCTAATGGTAATTGGTTGCACCAGATGTTATTTAGGCACTTCATAGCAAAGGTGATTAATAGATCCACACCACTTTTCCGTTATTTACTTTTTTGAATTTTTTGAAACAAGTTATTTTTTGAATTTCCCTACACCAATTTGGACTATTTTGTGTATGTCCATTACATGAAATCCAAATAAAAATCCATTTAAATTACAGGTTGTAATGCAACAAAATAGGAAAAAGGCCAAGGGGGAGGAATACATTTGCAAGGCACTGTATGTACTGATATGTAGGCTATGTGTGACGTTTTACATTTATGTAGTTCAGTCCTTGACCCTGTAATGTTCTGTACTATGTATTATGTCATGTTTCATGTGGGCCCCAGGAAGAGTAGCTACTACTTTTGCAGTGGCTAATGGGGATCCTGATAAATATGAAAAACCAAAAATCCTACAGACTACATACCACAATCCCCCAGTTCCATGGATCCCAGCCCAGTGGCCTACAGCCTCCACTCATCATCCGTTTACCTCGCCACCTTACTACCTGATCCGACCCAGGGGCTGCAGCACAGGACACAAAGTCAAGCCTGCATATACTGGAGAGACCCATGACTCCAGTGATATTCTAGAACCCAGTCGGCCCCTGACCCTCTTTGGACAACACCACCCCAGGCCTACCAGCCTGCGGCCCAGCCATACAAGGCTCCAGCCCAGGCCCCAGCTCAGCCCTACTATTCCCCGGCTCAGCCATACTTTTATTTAAATTTTATTTAACCTTTATTTAACCAGGTAAGCTAGTTTAGAACAAGTTCTCATTTACAACTGTGACCTGGCCAAGATAAAGCAAAGCAGTGCGATAAAAACAACAACACAGAGTTACATATGGGTTAAAACAAAACATAAAGTCAAAAATACAACAGAAAATATATATACAGTGTGTGCAAATGTAGCAAGTTATGGAGGTAAGGCAATAAATAGGCTATAGTGCAAAATAATTACAATTAGTATTAACACTGGAATGATAGATGTGCAAGACATGATGTGCAAATAGAGATACTGGGGTGCAAATGAGCAAAATAAATAACAATATGGGGATGAGGTAGTTGGGTGGGCTAATTTCAAATGGGCTGTGTACAGGTGCAGTGATCGGTAAGGTGCTATGACAACTGATGCTTAAAGTTAGTGAGGGAGATAAGAGTCTCCAGCTTCAGAGATTTTTGCAATTCGTTCCAGTCATTGGCAGCAGAGAACTGGAAGGAATGGCGGCCAAAGGAGGTGTTGGCTTTGGGGATGACCAGTGAGATATACCTGCTGGAGCGCATACTACGGGTGGGTGTTGCTATGGTGACCAATGAGCTAAGATAAGGCAGGGATTTGCCTAGCAGTGATTTATAGATGGCCTGGAGCCAGTGGGTTTGAAGACGAATATGTAGTGAGGACCAGCCAACAAGAGCGTACAGGTCACAGTGGTGGGTAGTATGTGGGGCTTTGGTGACAAAACGGATGGCACTGTGATAGACTACATCCAATTTGCTGAGTAGAGTGTTGGAGGCTATTTTGTAAATGACATCGCCGAAGTCAAGGATCGGTAGGATAGTCAGTTTTACGAGGGCATGTTTGGCAGCATGAGTGAAGGAGGCTTTGTTGCGAAATAGGAAGCCGATTCTAGATTTAACTTTGGATTGGAGATGCTTAATGTGAGTCTGGAAGGAGAGTTTACAGTCTAACCAGACACCTAGGTATTTGTAGTTGTCCACATACTCTAGGTCAGACCCGTTGAGAGTAGTGATTCTAGTCGGGTGGGCGGGTGCCAGCAGCGTTCGATTGAAGAGCATGCATTTAGTTTTACTAGTGTTTAAGAGCAGTTGGAGGCTACTGAAGGAGTGTTGTATGGCATTGAAGCTCGTTTGGAGGTTTGTTAACACAGTGTCCAATGAAGGGCCAGATGTATACAAAATGGTGTCGTCTGCGTAGAGGTGGATCTGAGAGTCACCAGAAGCAAGAGCGACATCATTGATATACACAGAGAAAAGAGTCGGCCCAAGAATTGAACCCTGTGGCACCCCCACAGAGACTGCCATAGGTCCAGACAACAGGCCCTCCGATTTGACACATTGAACTCTATCTGAGAAGTTGTTCGTGAACCAGGCGAGGCAGTCATTTGAGAAACCAAGGCTATTTAGTCTGCCAATACCAGGCTCCAGCCCAGGGCCCAGCTCAGCCCTATCAGCCTCCAGCCCTGCCATACCAAGCTCCAGCACTGGCCCCCGCTCAGCCCTACCAGGCCCTGGTCCAGCCATGCCAGGTCCCAGCTCAGCCGTACCAGCTCCATCCCCCGCTCAGCCCTACCAGCCCCTGGTCCACCCATACCAGGCTCCAGCCCAGGCACCCTCTCAGCCCTACCAGCCCCTAGTCCAGTCATACCAGGCTCCAGCTGTAACAATGGTGAGGTATGAGTGTCAGGATAACTTAATGGCATGTCTCAGGCTGGACACATTGGCATTCAGGATCTTTAGTCTCCACCAAGTTTTGTTAATACCCTATGTTCCCCTTATCCTAAAGTCGGTGGAGAAACCAACTTTTGAGTGTTCAGAGATTTAAAATAAAAATAAAGTATGTTCTTATAACTGGCATGGAAGTGTCTAGAGTTGGAGGTGTAAGGATAATTAGGATTTGGTGCAGTGTTGTGTGCATATTGTTTAACCATTGATATGTTCTACCGGGCATTTTGAGACCATAAGGAGCATCAGGTACTACTGGAATGTCTACCAATGGCATGTCCATCTTTTTGTTGAGAAATTACACTGGTCACTCAAAACATTTTATTTAGTATTTATTAAGTATAACTAGCCCACACTTTAGATCTCGCAAAAACTTAACCAATGATTTGTAAATGTTTTATAGGACCTATGTATATTAAACATCTTATGAATCATTATTAAAAACATGAAGGTGTTTATAAATGTGTGAATAAGTAGGTTACGGGACGGCAGGTAGCTTAGTGGTGAAGAGCGTTGTGCCAGTAACCGAAAGGTCGCTGGTTCTAATTCCCGAGCCGACCAGGTGAAAAATCTGTCGATGTGCCCTTGAGCAAGGCACTTAACCCTAATTGCTCCTGTAAGTCGTTCTGGATAAGAGCGTCTGCTAAATGACTAAAATGACTAAATGACTAAATTTACAAATGTGGGAGTAATTAATGATGAATAAACTATTTATTAATCCATTAAGAATGCTTTATTTCATGGAGTTATTATAAAGTGCTACCGAAAGATCAGAATTGGGCTGCCTGTGTAAACAGAGCCTTTCTCAGACTGTTTTGACACAACCACTGTCCTATAGTACTCTGTGCTTTCTGAGAATAGTGTTATTTTTGGAGGTTGGCATTTATTGTCATGAATCTTGACCTGAGGCAGCTCTGCAGTGGTCACTAGCTAGCACAGCCACAAAGTCATAAAATGATTTTAACCCTAACCTTAGCCCTAACCTTAACCACACTAATAACATTAATGCCTAACCCTAACCTTCAATTAAAACCAAAAATAAAACTTTTGCTTTGATACATTTCTACGATATAGCCAATTTTGACTTTGCAGCTGGCCCATCTAGCAGAAATCACTCTGTTCTGCCTCCAGGGCAAGATTCATGACAATAAACGTCAACCTGCGTTATTTGCTATTGATAAATACCCCATAGGGCCTGTCAGTTGCCAGGGAACAGTTCCATTTACTGTCAGGTGAAGATTTGTCACGTATTATACATCGGTCATAAAGAAATAGTGTTTGAAAGAAGCTACTGAAATACAGAGCACAGCTCACCACACCACACATCTAAGATACACAAACACACACAAAACTGCATGTATGCACACACACACACACACACACACACACACATACAAACAAACAAACAAACACAATATTTTACACAGCAAAACTAAACCTACTATATATAAGCCACAAACATATTTTTCCCAGTGTTCTCACTATCACCCGCCATCTTTGATAAACACAGATGCTAAACTGTTTTCCAAAATGTTGTCTTCCCGTCTCGAGACTTACTTACCCAAATTGGTCCACACGGACCGAACAGGGTTTGTTAAAAAAAATTTATCCTTGGATAACCTCAGCTTCTTGGGATGAATTATCTCTCGAGACAGAAATATATTTTGATAGACTAGAATGGTCATATCTCTGGTCTGTCTGGGAACATATGGGAATTGGCTCCAATTTCATTAACATGATTAAAATACTATATTCCAATCCCTCAGTCATACTTATAACAGGCAATATCGGCTCTGCTCCGTTCAGAATCTCTAGAAGCAGCAGACAAGGCAATCCAATTTCTTTTTCGCTATTTTTATGATCAATGGAGCCCCTGGCCCAGGCAATTCGTCAATAGAAGGAAATTACACCAATTTCCCCAAATTCTACTGATCATTTCATCTCATTATGATCAGTAGAATTTGTGATCATACATTGTCTAGATATAATAAAATATTGTATCTCAATTGCTCCCACACACATTGAAGATCTCCCGAGTGGCGCAGTGGTCTAAGGCACTGCATCGCAGTGCTAGCTGTGCCACTAGAGATCCTGGTTCGAATCCAGGCTCTGTCGTAGCCGGCCGCGACCGGGAGACCCATGGGGCGGCGCACAATTGGCTCAGCGTCGTCCAGGGTAGGGGAGGGAATGGCTGGCAGGGAGGTAGCTCAGTTGGTAGAGCATGGCGTTTGCAATGCCAGGGTTGTGGGTTCGATTCCCACGGGGGGCCAGTATAAAAAAAATACAAATAAAAAAACAATTCTAAAAAATTACAATGTATGCACTCACTAACTGTAAGTCGCTCTGGATAAGAGCGTCTGCTAAATGACTAAAATGTAAATGTAAATGTAGCCTAATATCAAATTACGGTATAAAATGAATCTAACCAAATCAGCCCTACTGCCTCTAAAGACCCCGATGGAGGACTCCATCTTTACTTGTGGAATTCCAATCATTTCCCATTTTAAATATTTGGAAGCAGATACATTTCCCTCCTTAGATAAAACCATTTCCACAAACTGTAACATAACACTCAATTAAATCCAACCTTAGTAGATGGACTAACATCCCAGTTGCATTAACCGGCAGAATATTTATTGTCAAAATGAATATATTGCCACGGCTAAACATATTGCCATGGTTAAAATCCATAGTGTGGTTTCAAAATGTATATGGTAAGGTAAGTGATCCCGGATTAGATTAACAATGTTACAAAGACGGAAAGAGTAGGGGGACGAGCCATACCAAACTTTCAATTGTATTTCCAGGCACTAGCATTTCACCCCATCCTAAATTGGTTTAGACATGATTGTTCTGCCCCCTGGCTGAGTATAGAGAGAAATATGGTGTCTCCTATTGCCCTGGAAGAGGTGGTCTTCACTGATACAGTATATCCCTTAAACAATTTAAACTACGCTTTGGTCCTATCATTGCTCACACAATCTCTCTATTTGGCGAAATTTTTTAAAACAATGTAACTGGGAATCAAAATGGCATGCCCATGCTCCAATATTTCACAAATAATGCCTTGTGATCTGTAGGGCGGTCTTATGCATCCCCCCCAATTGTCCACATGTGGAATCCGTACCCTTGCAGATATTAACATTCCAAGATTTGAAAGACACACATTACCAGGCAACACCTTTTTTTTATATTTACAACTTAAGTCAGCAATGCTGGCCTATGGAGTCCCTTGGGAAACCCAGCTACCGAACGATCCAATGATGGGATTTATAAATAAATTATCTGGGCTCCCAAAAGGACTGATCTCTATAATATAAGCTTTGGAAAGCTCATATTCTGAGATAGCCATTAAAAAAGTATGGTTCATAGCAGGGAAGGTTCCTCAGAGGAGGAAGGGGAGGACCATTATTAAAATATGTTTTAAAACATTTAAAAAGTTCTACTTTTTTGATAAAACTATACTAAATATACTCACATGTCACCAAGTAATTGATTAAAATACACTGTTTTGCAATGAAGGTCTATAGTAGCCTCAACAGCACTCTGTAGGTTAGCACCATGGTGTAGCTGGAGGACAGCTAGCTTCCGTCCTCCCCTGGGTACATTGACTTCAATACAAAACCTAGTAGGCTCATGGTTCTCCCCCCCTTCCATGACAACTTCTGGAGGACGTCCTCCAACCTATCAGAGCTCTTGCAGCATGAACTGACATGCTGTCCACCCAATCGAAGGATCAGAGAATTAATCTAACACTGAAAGCATAAGCTAAAGCTAGCTAACACTGCAGTGTATAAAATGTGGTGAGTAGTTGACTCAAAGAGAGAGAAAGATAATAGTTGAATAATTGTGAACAAATTTGTTTCTTCCAAAATGAAGGAGAAGTAAGAGAGAGACAGAGAGAGATTTCATCATTTTTTTTTCACTTACTTAGCTAGCAAATGCAGCTAGCTAGTATAGCCTACTCAAACACCTTGCTCAAACAGAGGGATGCTATGTTAGCTAGCTGGCTATGACTATCCAACACAACACTGGAACTCTTCCAATTCAAGGTACGTTTTTAATTTTACTGATTTTACTAAGCTGGTTGAGAAAATGCCAAGAGAGTGTAAAGCTGTCATCAAGGCAAAGGGTGGCTATTTGAAGAATCTCAAATATACAATATATAAAATGTATACAGCATATACATATGAGATGAGTAAAGTAGTATGTTAGCATTATTAAAGTGGCCAGTGATTCCATGTCTATGTACATAGGGCAGCAGACTCTAAGGTGCAGGGTTGAGTACCTGGCTAGTGATGGCTATTTAACAGTCTGATGGCCTTGAGATAGAAGCTGTTTTTCAGTCTCTCGGTCCCAGCTTTGATGCACCTGTACTGACCTCGCCTTCTGGATGATAGTGGGGTGAACGAGGCCGTGGATTGGGTGGTTGATGTCCTTGATGATATTTTTGGACTTCCTGTGACATCGGGTGATGTAGGTGTCCTGGAGGGCGGGCAGTGTGCCCCCGGTGATGCGTTGGGCAGACCGTACCACCCTCTGGAGAGCCCTGCAGTTGCGGGCGGTGCAGTTGCCATGCCAGGCGGTGATACAGCCCGACAGGATGCTCTCAATTGTGCATCTGAAAAAGTTTCTGAGGGTCTTAGGGGCCAAGCCAAATTTCTTCAGCCTCCTGAGGTTGAAGAGGCACTGTTGCGCCTTATTCACCACACTGTCTGGGTGGGTGGACCATTTCAGATTGTCAGTAATATGTACACTGAGGAACTTGAAGCTTTCCATCTTCTCCACTGCAACCCCATCGATGTGGATAGGGGCATGCTCCCTCTGCTGTTTCCAGAAGTCCACGATCAGCTCCTTCGTTTTGTTGACATTGAGAGAGAGGTTATTTTCCTGGCCCCACTCTGTAGCGGGTTTACTAACGGGTTATTTCATTAGCTATGTTGA